TGGCGACAAGTGACTTCCAAGACTCTCGGTTTGCTTCATGAAATTGTCGGGCTCCAAACAGAGAACGGGGGTGGTTCGTCCACGCCACGGATCTACCGACTACTCGCTCCTTCCCCGGTGGAGTGTACATATGCGTCACATACGACTGGACATGCTGGACCATAGGGGCACCGGTTATCGCTGCTTGCTCACGGGGCACATTTGGCCCGAATGCCTCGGGCCGTGGTCACGAGTGCTCGTGACACATTAGCCAGATTGCGAGCAACTAAGCATTTGCAAACCAACCGTGCTCCTTTGGTGAGCCACATAAGATTTTGGCGCTTGGCAATCTGCCACCTCCAATCTGTTTTGCTAGTGGCAGACGATAGCTCGATTCTGCAGATCGTACCAGTCTAGCGCGCTCTTCGATGCACTGCTAGTACTGCTTAATACTCAGAATCCATGGCCCGAGATGTATGTAGCGCAGACACCCGACTCAGGTTGGCCATGCCCGATGAATTGTCGAAGTGTGGGAACCGGGGCGTCGGCCGGCGGAGAGTGATGGGCGCGCTGTCCTACGCCTCCTCGCCATGTGCAGCCACGACCTCTGTTCCAGATTGATCTGTCGGGGTTCCTGATCGAGCAATGAAAGGAATGAAAGGTCGGGAAGATCACTCAGCAGCCAGCATGCCACGCGCTCAGGTCGCGCCAGACGCGCAACCTGGGCCTCTGCCCCCTCTTTTCTCCTAGCCCATCCCGGCCAGCCTACTTGCATCATTCAACAGCAGCGCAAGCTCAAACTCAACGCTGAGACGGGGCATGTTGCATCCGAGAGCATCCGTGTGCCTTCATCATGGCGGTGTGCCTTCGAGCGAACATGCCGAGTGCCACCAGGAACACTTCCGGGAACATGACCCCTCTTCGACCCTCCCTCTTCGGTGTCAGGCAGCGCATCCTTTCCATCCGAAGCTCGAACCTGATCTGCAACTGCCTGATCGCCGGGGTATGTCTCGATCGCAGTGCGACCCGCGGCACGCAGATGTTCGGCGTGATCACGTTGTGTAAGTCACGTTGGGGTCGTAGATTGCAGCCTGATTAATCTGATTGCAGCTTGTGCAGACCAAGGTTTGCTTCATTCCTCTCGCTCAGACTGCTTAACCCACTTGGATCATTATGCATGTGTCTCCTCGCCTCGCTTCTGGGGCGTGCGTAATGAAACTGAACTGAATGTCGCACTCACCGTCTTCCTGAGACCTTCATGTCCTTCCTCTTCTGCTGAGACAAGCTGGTGGCCCCAGCCATTCTCCTTGTGACCGAGCAGGAACTCTACGCATATCCGCTCTCCCAAGTCTGCGCATCCGCCCACTGCCAACGCCGAGGTTCCAGCTCGGCGACGCGCGGTGGCTCAATTGACAAAACTCGGAGGCTGGCCCGAATTTACTCCGGAGGACCCACCATGAGCAAGCACTCAAAGACGACTGAAAAGGACAGACCAGGACGCCTGGATCCTTCCATTGCTTCGCATGGACTGCAAGCCCACTCGCCGAGACCGGCGCCGGGCTGGCTTGAAGCTTGTCCAGCCCCCCCCTCACACATGCCGAAGAGTGGGCGAATGTCCGGCGCCCACTACTGCGCTTAACCGCTCGCCTTTGCCGGACGTATGAATCAAGACCTTTCACGGAGCCGAGAGGAATGCAGGTATGCATGACGTGAGCGACGTGCGACGCGGCCGCATCTGCGCCGCTGAGTGACTCGTGTGACACTTCCTAACGAGATAGAGGTGAACGTCCTCACAGTGTCACACTGCAGAGAGATGTACCGCTGCTCCGGAACGCCGCTCCCGGCGCAGTAAGTAACGCTCGGGGCCAACCATCCCCGCTGGCCTCTCCCCCGGCACGGCAGAGTGCAAGTTTTCGTTTTTTTTTTTCGGGCAAGAATTGTTTCCACGACGATCAGTCTCGTAAACCACTAACACTCCTCGCAACGCGGAGCAGAGGAGAGGGGAGGAGGGGAGGAGGGGCGGCCACGCGGCCGCAAGGGCGTCTCCCTGGGGCCTCCTGGGGCTTGCTCGATCGAGCCCAGCTTTGGGTCCAGCTCGGTGTGTAGTATCCTGCACCAATACGCCAGGGCCGCGGACTCTCCAGGTGCTTACTGCTAGGGGCCGCATGTCGCGCCTCCGCCGCCGGTACCGGGTACAGCCTCCGCGGCCAGTCGGAAGCGGCCTTGTGCGCCAGTGAACGCCTCGTTAAACCGCTGTGTGCTTGGCGTTTGGCGGGGACACTTTACGCGTCAGCGGCGGCTGTCGTGCAGACTCCATGAGGCGCTCCGTGGGCGCACGACTGGGCGTGTGGGTTTGCGGGCGTCGGACAGACGGACATTCTGCGTCGGCTGGAGTGCAGCCCGACGTACCCGACGTACCGATGTTGGAGGGGCTGCAAGGAAGCAAGCAGCCCACGACACTTATGCATGCCGTCAGTTCTGTGCTCCAAACTCCAAGCCGAGCACGACGAGCCCTGTCGGTGGGCGCAGTCTTGTTCTCGCGCAATGCATGCCCATGTCGTCCACTGGATGAATACGGTTTCAGGAGCGCTAAGGGAGTGTGCATCTCGTTGGAGCCGTTTGAGACTCCCGCTTAATGGCCACACCGCCTCTAGGCGCTCTATCTGTTGGGTCCCAGTTGGGTCGAGCCCCTTGGGGTGCCCCTTGTCTTCCGGCGTCGCAGAGGTGCACCCGGTCGAACAGCCGCTTGCAGCGCTGGCGCTTTCGGTTCGCCCATTGCATGCGACCTTGGCCCCATGCTGTTCCGTCCTCCCCGCTGAGCCGCTGACGCGCTTTATAAATGCGCTTGTTGGAGCGGATCTCTTTATAGCTACGGCTGTGGGTTGTGCTTAGGTGTGCTTGGTGCGCGCCCGGCTGTCCCGAGAGCCTAACTGCATTATGCACTTTGAGGCGGCGCGCGAAGCATTGGAAGGAAAAACTTTCACCTGCAGTACATAGCAAGTCGAGTGGGTTCCAGTAGTGGGCAGTGAGCAGAGTCGAGGAGGAGCTTGGCTTACGAGAGGACCCTGGAGGGGTCAGGGTCTGGATGTTCCTTTGTGTGCCTGGCGCATCACCAGGTTGGCCCAGTCTGCAAAAAGTTGATCGTCCTCCACTCCGACTCCACGAGCAGTAAGGGCTAGCTCCTGGCCGAACATCTGCGCCAGGGGAGGGAGTCAGTACTGTAGTGTGTTGCGCGCTCGGCTGGATCAGCGGAGCAAAGCACTGGACGCTGTCAATTGGCCTCGCGCATCACTGCTCAGGGTCGCCGCTTCAACTGAACAACGAACCCAGACCAGCGAGGGGCCCAGTGACCACCACCACAGAGCACATCCTCGCCGTGTGCAGCGTACCAGCCAGCCAGCCAGCCAGCCAGCCAGTCCTTGTCGGGTGACCATTGCAATCTTGCTACTCCATCTTATTCTTTTCCATCATCCATCGCTGGCTTGGCCGCCGCGGACCATTACCTTGGCCACATTCTGTAACACTAACCCCCCTTCTTCATCTTCTTCGACCCCTTTGACACCTTCAACTCCTCCTTCGACGTTCCGACGCGCGACACCGACTGACCCCCCTTCCTCTTCTCCTTCGCCGACGCCCTCCTTTACCCCTCCTCCTTTCTTGACCTCACCGTCGACTACTTCTTTCTCCCCCACATTCCCCTTCGCCTGACTCAGGCCCCGCCGCCATGGCCAAATTCACGGACAAGATCGCCGACAAGCTCGGCGACCACCCCGTGTCGCACCACCTCCGGGGGCGCAAGTGGGGCGAGATGCTGACGTCGCTGCTGTTCTCCCTCGTCGTGCTCGCTCTTATCGGTGTGTGGGCCGCCGCGACAGCAGGTTATGAGACGGCGTCCAAGATGTCGCCCGACTGGAACATGACGGACAACGACCACTGGTTCGCCAAGTTTACCCCCCCGCGCGCCCCGCCCCTGTGCCAGCCCGCGTTCATCAACACGGGCTCCGAGTTCTACACGACCAACGGCATCTTCCTCTGGCAGATGGGCAAGGGCTTCAACGTGTCTGCCGAGAAGGCGTTTGGTAATAACGACACCACCGTCAACTTCAACTCGACGCTGCAGGAATACTCGGACTACACACTGTCGCACTGCGATGTGTCTGGACGTGAGTCACGCGCTTCTTGGCCCGTAAACTGACGCGTGTAGTGCAGATCGACATGGACCTCCGTGGCGCCGAGGTCGCGGTGCAGATCTACGCGACGTGCATTGACCCGACGTGGCCTGCGCTCCTCCGCTCCGACGTCAAGTTCTCCGTCAACCCCGCGACTGGCATCGACAACTCGCTCTGGTACGGCGATGTGATCCAGCCCGAGAGCAAGGAGTCGAACGACATCGTGTCCCCGATCCAGGACCTCGCCAACGACATGTGGAAGCGTCAGCGCGCCATGTATCTGAACACGACTGGCAACGACTATCCGCTCGTGCGCGGCTTCCGAGTGCGCAACAGCAACAACTGCGCGTTCGAGACCAAGGACAAGAAGTCGTGCTTCGAGAAACCTCTCCAGTGGAGCAACGACACGGATGGCTTCTACATGTACCCGAACCTGACGATCAGCCAGACCAACTACGAGCCCATCGTCTGGAACGTGACGACCAACAACCTCGTTCAGGCCGTCATCGCGGCGGCGAGGTACGATTTCGGTGCTAACATGACCAACAATCTCTTCTCGAACAACACTGTCAAGGGCCAGATCATCCAGACCCAGGACTCGCCGCGTCTCGTCAACGTCACCGACGCCAACTACCCCATGAACCCGCTCAGCGGTGCGCGCGCCTTCCTGGCGACGCCCGAGTTCGCTCCCGCCGGCATCGCACGCGTCCGCACGAGCTACCTCTGCATGGTGATGCGCATGAAGAAGCCGGCCGACTTTGTCGTCTCCGTGCTCGGTTTAATGTTTGCCCTGTTCGGTGTCGTGTTCACAGCCCTCGCATTCCTCTTCCACAAGATCACCGGCCGCACCGTCGGCGGTGGTCCCGCGCTCATCGGTGCTCCCGCGCCGATTGACATTGTGCATGAAGGCGAAGAAGAACAGGCACTCACAGACAAGGACGGCAACCCGAACGAGCCGCGCGGTCCCAACGGAAACCTCCCGATGCGCTCGAACAGCGCGGCCGACACGCTCGCGTTCGGCGCAGGTGGCAAGCACAACAGCTTTGGCAATCTCTCCCAGCTTACGGGCAAGAGCGGAGGCGGCGGCGGTGGTGGTGGCTTCGGAGCCGCCGGCTTTGGCGCTGGCGCCCGCAGCAGCTCCGGATTCGACCTGTCGTCCATGGCTGGTAAGGCTGGTGGCGGCGGTTCCATGCTCTCCATGGCTGGTGGTCTTGCCGGTGGCCTGATCTCTCGCGCCTCCGGTGTCGACCTGTCCAGCATGTCTGGCAAGGCCGGCGGTGGTGGCTCCGGCATCAACCTCTCCTCCCTCGGCGGTGCCGGTGGCAGCGGCTCCGGTCTCAATCTCGCGGGTATGGCTGGCAAGGCTGCCTCTGGCGGTGGCTCTGGTCTCTCGCTTTCTGGCCTTGCTTCGCGTGCTTCCGGCGTCGATCTGCAGGGTATGGCGAACAACATGGGCGGCCTGCAGCCTCCAAACGGCACCTCCGGCTCGGGCTTCAACCTCGCTACTCCTCCTATGTCTCGCCTCTCGTCCTTTGCCTCGCAGTACAATCCGTTCAAGGGAAACGCTGCCGCTGCTGGTCTCGGCGCCGCCGCCGGTCTGGCTACCGGGGCTGGCGTCGCTGCGGCTTCCAAGCACCAGTCTGGTAACAGCGGCGACACGACTTCTGACGGTGGTGCTTTAACGGCCGTCAACTCCGAGATCGGCAGCACCTCCCAGCTCCTCGGCCAGTACAACGTCAGCAACCCCTACCTTCCTTCGCCGGGCAGCTCCCAGATCCCGCTTTCTTCTTCGTACCCCAACATGCCCACGATCCCCGACAACAATGACCACCCGCCCATCGCTGGCTACGTCCCGACCAGCGGCGACGACTATACGCCCCGCCAGAGCGAAGACCCTGCTGCTGCTGCTGCTGGTGCCGCCGGCGTCGGCGCTGCCGCTGGTGCCGCCACTGGTGCGGCCGGAGCAGCTGCTGCCGGATACGCCCCCCTTCCGTCTACCGCTGGCATTGGTGCCAACAACGTCACTGGCAACTACTTCAACTCGTCTCCCGAGACCATGGCTCAGGCGCAGATGCCGCAGCAGGCCAACCCCGCTGTTCCGGGCATGCCCGCGGCTCCTGCTGCCGCTGTTCCGGCCCTGGGTACGCGCGAGGCTGAGGCACAGCAGTTCGGCGCGGGTGGCTTCATCCAGCCCAACCAGAACAGCTTCGCGGGTCGTCCCGAAGTCGTTGGCCAGCCCATCGCTACCCCCGCGCCCGCCGCTAGCGGTGTCCAAGCTCCCTCGCCCACGTCTGCCAACTTCTCGAACCTCGTCCCCGGTGTCGCGGGCGGCGTGCTCGGTGGAACCGCCGCTGCGGCCGCCCTCGCAGCCGGAGCGCGCATGAGCTCCTCGCCCGTCGGAAGCCCCGTCGTCTCGCCCCCGCCTCACCTCCCCGCTGTGCAGAGCATCGACCTGAACCACTCTCCGGAATCGGAGCAGCCTCCTGTGGTGCCCAACCAGCCCTACGTCGAAAACGCGCAGGGCATGGCCGGCCTCACGGGCCAGCAGCCCATGTCGCAGGCGTCGGGACACAACGTCACCCAGGGCGCGACTGGCAACCTCGCCCAGAACATTCAGAACGCACCTCAGACGTTGCAGAACTTCCAGGGTATCCCGCGCGACATGGCGCAGAATGTGCAGGCTGCTGTTCCGCAGAACCTACCGGCCAGTGTCCCCCAGGGCGCTCCGCGTGACATGGGCGGTATGCAGAACGCGGCCATGGCCGGCCTCGCTCGCGCTGGCCTTGGTGCCGGTGCTGCTGGCGTGATGGGCATGGTTAACAACACGCGTGAGCGCGCCCAGAACATGCCCCAGAGCGCCCAGGGCGTCGTTTCGAACGTCCAGCAGCAGCTTCCCGCCCACCTCCAGAACGGCGCTGATCGCGCCGTGCCCTCCCCCATCAACCCCGGAACGGGTGCGCCGGTGCAGCGCGGCCTCGACTCGCCCGAGATGCCCGACCCCAGCGCGACGTCGCCTACCTCGATCCCGACCCCGAACGTGCCGACTGCTCTCCCCGTTCCTTCTGGAGAGACTGCCGGCGCTTCGCCCATGAGCCAGCCTTCGATCCTCGGCTCGGACCAGACGACCCCCACTGGCTCCACCCCCGGCCCGACGCCCACGGCGATGACGCCCTCCGCGACGCGTGACGGTCCCAGCGTACCGGGCATGACGCCTATTGGCCTCGCACCCGAGACGGCCACGGCGACCTCGTTCGACGGCCGACCCATCTCTGCCTTCTCGACCGACAGCGTTTACTCGCAGCGCACGAGTCCCGGCCGCCGTACCTCCATGCTCCCCGTTCCCGAGGGAGACAACGAGATCCCCGCCGTGCCCGCCATGCCTCCCCACCTCGCTGCCATGGGCCGCGTCCCCTCCACCACTGACACTCCTTCATCTTCTTCCAACCTTCCCCTCGCTGCCGCCGCCGCCGGTGCCGGCGCGCTCGGAGCGGGTGCCGCTGCACTTGGCCTCCGCAGCGCCGACGGGTCTGGTCTCCCCACGCGCTCGAGCATGGGTATGCCCACCAGCCCAGGAGCGCCCGTGACGGGTCTTCCGAGCGCGGGCGTGGCGACCTCTCCCGAAGTGCCGACGAGCGGCCTCCCCGCCTCGTCTTCGATGAGCTACATGACCCGCGGCATGCGCACCAGCGCCGGCCCGCCCATGCGCCGCCCCTCGCCTCCCGACATCACGGTCCCCAAGCCGTTCGCGACGATGGGCATCCCGACCTCCCCTGGAGCGCCGAACGCGCGCCACACCTCTGCCGGCCCGCCTGCCGGATACTTCCAGCCTACCGACCCCGCCACGCCCACCACTCCTCTGACCCCGCGCGAGTCCGACTCGCTCCTGAACCGTGACGAGTAAAACGATACAGCTTGAAGGGTAATCAGTTATGGCTTCGTGTGGGTCCGACATTTTCCTCGACAAGATCAATGGCTTTGATAGATCATTTGCAAAACGGACGATAATCAGCATTATGCATTGCAAACGTGTACACTACAATCTGCCTGGGTGCATGCGCGAGTCCACTAACAATGAACAGCGCAGACAAGAGGAGGCCGAAGCTTAGGTCGTAGGGGTCAACAGCCACAACCCGCTTTTTGCCACCTGCAACGCAGCGGGACCAATCGGCTGCCCGCGAAAACATCAAGTCCAGCGGCAGTTGCGTCATGACCCAATGTCCCGGCGATCATCTCTTTTTTCCCTTTCTCCGCTCTAGAAATCGAACACACACAGCGGGGACCCGACAGACAAGCATCATGAAGCTCGTCGGGAAACAGATCGAGAAGGATGGGTCGGTACGTAGGACTTCCGTTCCGAGCCCCTGCGCTCGTGCTCGCCGGCTGGCTGGATGGCTCTCACTCTCGCTCTCGTCGTCTTGCTCGAGCTCGTTACTGACATGCAGGGCTGGGTCGACCTCATCCCCGAAGACGAGGAGGACATGTGGCACGTGTACAACCTGGTGTCTGCCGGTGACACAGTGCGCGCCAAGACGGACCGGAAGGTGCACACGCAGTCGTCGACGGGCACAACGAGCTCGTTCCGCGTCACCATGTCGCTCGCGATCATAGTGAAGAAGACCATGTTCTCTGCCGCGGCATCGAGCGAGACGACGGGGGACAAATCGGAGGCCCGCGCCGTGATGAGCATCACGGGGCAGGTGACGGAGGCGAACGACTGGGTGCGCGTCGGCGCGTACCACACGCTGGAGCTGGAGCGGGGTAGGAAGTTCCGCCTGAGCAAGGGGACGGGGTGGGACAGTGTGGCGCTGGAGCGGATCGAGGATGCAACGAAGGCGGGACGGGGGGCCGAGATCGGCGCCGTCGTGTGCGGCGAGGGCACGGCCGCCATCTGCCTGTTGAGCGAGCACATGACGGTGGTGCGACAACGGATCGACGTGCCCATTCCCCGCAAACGTTCCGGAACCTCCGCACACGACAAGGCCATGGCCAACTTTCTCTCGACCGTGTATGCCGCCATCCTCCGCCTGATTCCCTTCGATTCGCTCAAGGCCGTCGTCATTGCCAGCCCCGGGTTCACGAAGGAGACGCTGTACGACTATGTCTTCCAGCAGGCAACCGAGACGGGGAACAAGGCGCTCCTCAACTCCAGGCCGAAGTGGGTCAAGGTCCACTCCAACACGCCGCATGTGCACAGTCTCGTCGAGGCCCTCCGCGACCCGGGCGTCGCCAAGATGCTCCAGGGCGCCAAGTTTGCGCGCGAGGGTGTGGCGCTGGACAAGTGAGCACTCCTTCTGTGCCATCGCTGCGCTCCGCTCGCTCAGGCTAACGCTGACGCCAGGTTCCACAAGATGCTGGCCACCGACGAGCTCCGCGCGTGGTATGGGCCGCAACACGTCGCCCTGGCCGTCAACCGCGGCGCGGTCGGCACGTTGCTCATTTCCGACGAGCTGTTCCGCAGCAGCGACCCCGAGACGCGCAACAAGTACGTCGACATGGTCGAGGCGGTGCGTGCACGGGGCGGCGAGAGTGTCATTTTCTCGTCCATGCACGAGAGCGGAAACCAGCTCAACCAGCTCAGTGGCATCGCCGCCGTGCTCACGTACCCGCTCGATATTGAGATTGTCGAGATGGAGGAGAAGGAGGAGGCGGAGCGGCTCGCGCGCGAGGCTACGCCGAGGACGCAATAGTCCTCCACCCTCGATGGTTGTCTCTCAAGGGTGAGGGCGATGGGGCGATGGGGCGATGGCGACGCTTAACGTCCACCGACGGCGTCATGCGCCTGCAGCAGCGCCAAAGACTGCCGCAACGACAGCAAGTCGAGGGCTTAGTACACTCTGCACGCCCCAGAGCACATCCGCGCGCCCCGCGTCCCGCATTATCGTAGAGTCTATATCGTGATGCATGAAACATTAATGCTCATCTACGCCTCCCCTCGTCGCACTCCGAGCCACGGCGCTCGCGGCGCGCGCGGTCTACGGAGCGCCAGTCTCCTTCAGTCTCCCTCCTCTACTACGCAGCTCCTACCTGGCGTTCACGCAAGCCTAGTCCCAGCTAAACTCGTCGCTGTCTCTTGACTTGCCCGGCCTACCCGCTGCGGCGGCTGTCCCGTTGCCTGCCGCGTTCATGCGCGGGGACGTCCGGGGGGAGCCGACGGCCTCCTCGGAAGCACGCGCGCCGCGCTCGATACGCTCCACGTCTGCGAGCGCGCGCTCCATCTCGATCTCCTCGTCGAGCGCTGTGGCCGCCAGAGAGGCGCGGCGCGCCTCGATCTGCGTCACTTGGTTCGCGTGCGTGGTCAGCGGCAGCTGGTGGTAGGTCCCTGAGCGGAGGTGGGCGGCGTAGCTGTACATCAGGAAGATGAAGTAGACCTGGGGTGTGTTAGTTGGGTTCGAGGAGGATTATTTGGCAGTTTTCTAAAGGGTCTCAGAGGTCTCAGAAGGACACCAAGTCCGGTCGACAGAGAGACATGACGCTCGCGCTCGCGCTCGCTGCGCTCGCGTGCTCGCTCGCTCGCGAATGAACCCACCTTGAGCAAGAATCCCACGGCAATGACACCGAGCGCATACCCCTTCTCCTTGTTCCAGATCTCGTGCGCGAGCTGGGCCTGCTTGTCTCGTCCGGCGTCAAGCGGCTCCGTTTCTCCCCGGCTCAGCGCGAGTTCAAAGATATCCTTCTGCGCCTGCGAGTTGAGCACACGCGTGCCGTCGTGCTTCAGCGTGTACCAGTACGCGTAGTAGAAGATGTAGTGGAAGACCCAGGCGATGGCGTGGTCAATCACGTAGAGGTGCGCGACGAAGAGCGACTTCTTGGCGACCTCGAGCTTGATCACGCTCAGCGCCCAGAGGAACGCCCACAGCGTCGCAAAGCTGTAGGCGTAGTACAGGAACTGCCAGAACGTGCCGCCGACAATCACCGTGATCAGGCCGTACACACCGGCGACCTTGTTGATCAGCTGTAAGCTTGTTAGTATCGTCCTCTGCATGTATTGACGCACGCCGAACAGAAGCACAATCTCGCAGCCTGATGTCAGCTAAACCTTTGCGGGGTAAGCTTACCCAGCTTGAGATCGAGGATGCCGAGGAACGAGTTGAACACGGCGCCAGGCGTCATGCGGCGCATGTTGACCCTCATGGCGGCGTGCGGAGTTGTCGGGTGTGTTTGTTGTTTGTTGTTGAGGTCGTGGAGAAGTCGGCGACGTCGAGAGCGTCCCAACGCGCCGTCGACAGCTCGACCTGAAAGGGTGTGCTACGGCCCCGACTGGAGCCGCGCGCAGCCTTGGCTGGCTGGCTGGCTGGCTAGTGATAGCGGTGCGGCGATGGCACGTGGTCTGACGTTCCTAGCTTGCTGACGTGGGAGCAAGTGTCCAACTGATAAGCACCCCGGCCTTCATCTCGGTCACGTGAAGCTCTCTCTGGCAAAGTGCCACACTCCCGCCATCCTCGGGAATACGACGGTGCGAGGCAAAACTGGCAACGGAGGCAAACGCACGCGACGACCCGCAAAATTCGTTGGCACCCAGCGCGAGACGCCTCCCAGCGACTGACCGCTGCCAGCTAAAGCACTGTTCGAGTTTTGTGCATTCTCCTAACCGTCAACCTCACCTGCATCGATCAAAAATGGCCCCCAAGAAGTCCAAGTCCGCCAAGTCCTCGGAGAACATCAACTCCCGTCTCCAGCTCGTCGTCAAGTCGGGCAAGTACACCCTCGGCTACAAGCAGGCCCTCAAGCAGCTCCGCAACGGCAAGTGTGAGTAGAATCCGACACTTCTACTCGGCCTCAAGCAAAAGTTTTCCGCGCGACGATTCCCAGCAAGATCCTCAGCCAGCATTTCGACACAAATGTGCACACAACTCACCCTTTGATTCGTGCGGGATTGTTTTCTGGTCCGCGGCGTCTCGGCGTGCTGGAGCGACAGCGGAAAGACTTTGGAGGTTAGATTGGACCAACTTTTGGATCGCCTCTACATCTCTTCTCTGCTTTCGCTGAGAAGGCTTACGCCGACGCCGCGCTGCAGACCGATCCCGCATGGGGACCGGAGTCAAGCTGAGATGGAATCCCCGGAGCTTGGCCGAGATGGCACCCCTTTTGTCTTGTTACTAACGTTTGAACAGCGAAGCTCATCCTCATCTCCAAGAACTGCCCTCCCCTTCGCAAGTCGGAGCTTGAGTACTACGCCATGCTGTGAGTGTCCCCCTCGGGCTGTTATTTTGAGCTCCGCTGACAACCCTCAGTTCCAAGACCTCTGTCCACCACTACGAGGGCTCCAACGTCGACCTCGGCACCGCTGCCGGTCGTCTCTTCCGTGTCGGTGTCATGTCCATCCAGGACGCCGGTGACTCGGACCTCCTCCAGGTCGAGACTGCCTAAACGCACCAAAACCTTGGGACTTAGGTCGATCTGATGCATGTATAACAGGCATTTCATCCTGGACAATAGTTGCATTTGGGACTGACAGTGACTGACTGACTGCTCGTGTGGCAGGATGCGGGGTGAGGGCGTTCATACCAGCGCATGTTCAATGCAATGACGATGCATGCTAGCTACGGGTGATCTGAACGACCTCGACGCGCGCACCAAGATCCAACGCCGTGTCCCAGAATGTCGGATTCTCCCTGCTCATCGGCTGAAGGGGAAGGAGCTCGGTCCTAAGGGAAACCGCATCTGTTGTCAGCTATCAGTCCGCACTTCAGCTAAACATACCACACCGCTGCAGGAAGAGCTTGAACGTGTCCTCATTCCGCACGGTAGCGGCGAGGATAGCCTGTCGCCCATCCTCGAGCAGCGCGGAGAGCGCGTCCACGAGCAGAGGCACAATGTCCGGGTCGTAGATCTGGCGTCAGCTAACACTACAGGCCCAACAGCTGAGCGGATAGACTCACGACATCGGCGGCGACAATGTCCCTCCCCTTCGCCTCCTCCCACACCCCTGGGCGAGAGTCGCCCCTCGCATCGGCCCAGTCGAGAGCCTGCGCCTTGTTATCCGGGATGCCGTCTGCTCGTCAGCCATGCGGTCGGCTCAGGGAGCTTACTGATCTCAAAGTTCCGACGCAGTCGGGTGAGCGGCGTCTGTCTCGCCCCCGGCTCGTCGCAGGGACACTCGGCGCCGTCGCAGTCGCCTAGGTCTGTAGCGAGGACGTCGTGGCCCAGCTGCGTCAGTAACGTGCTCAGGAACCCGGTGCCGGCGCCGAGCTCGATCACTCGTGGTGACAGACGCACGGCGCCGCGAAGCAGGTGGTGACCCAGGTGAAGCGAAGCTGTCCAAGTTCGCAAACCTGTGCTGCCGGAGGACACGGCGACTTGCTCCTCGAGCAGGGTTATACGGCCCTCGCGCGACGTTCTTGCATGAATTAGCTTACGCGAGAAAGCACAGCTGCACATACGTCCTCCTGATGGTCAGCTTCAGATCAACATAGCTGCATACTCACAAGATCCCCTCTGCCGAGCTGGAAGTCAGCTTCATAGGTAGTCATACAGCCGCGGCCTACCTAGCCCTGCTCGTCAGTTCATATGCCGACAGCAGCTGAACTCACGTTTCTCTCTGCGCCACACTGGAAGTCAGTTTGAACGAAGCGAACCAGCTGGACCCACGAATGTCTGCGAGTTAGCTTGTGCACAGCGTGCCGTGGCTGGTTAACTCACAAGGGTCCATTCCTGAGGCTGATGGTCAGCTTACGCGGTAGCAGCGCTACAGCTGGACGTACCCCGTTCTGAAGTCAGCTTCGCTGCGAAGCTTCAGGAACCTGGCAGACTCACGTCGCAATCGGTCCGGTGCTGATCGTTAGCTCAATCCGCACGAAGAAAGAGCTGATACGCACGTTCTGTATGTCAGCTTCTACTGCTCCGCCACCAGCTCACATATCGCATTGTCGCGTCCTGAGTGTCAGCTATCTTAAGGCGATCGAAGCTCGTACGCACGTAGATCTCTCGTGAGCTTCCTACGGCCAATATCATAGCTTACTTCTTGCCTCTTCCTTGGCTGAATGTCAGCTCTTCGCGATCAGATCTGAGCTGAGACATACCTCAGTCTGCATGTCAGTTCTGCGTCGAAAGTTCAGACAACTCACCCTACAAACGCAGACCTGTGTGTCAGCTGGTTGTAGTGCAAGCGAAGCTGAACACGCACCCTCTGTCTGTCAGCTCGTAAGAAGGGCGCGCAAAACTGCGACTCACGCATCTTCCCCTGCAGAACTGATCATCAGCTGAGCATCATCAAGGATCTAGCTGAAACGCACGTTCTGTTCGTCAGCTGCGCACCACGGGGACGGTAGCTTACGTTCTTCCTTCTCCCAGCCTGCTGGTCAGCTACTCTTCCAACCCTGGCTAGCTAAACGTACCTATCTCTGCATGTCAGCTTGGTACCAACGTGCCACAGCTGGTCAGGGAACTCACGTTGTCGTCGGCGCACTGCATCTCGTCAGCTTAGACCTCACGGTTCGACAGCTCACTCGTAAAGGAACGTCTTGAAGCTCTGCTTCGGCCTGCGCGTTAGCTTTAGAAGGAAGTAGTTAAGCTCACGCTCCGGCGTCGCCTGCGCCTACGGCTAGGGAAGCGACGGTTTCGTAGATTCGCTCGTCGACCTGGTGTCAGCTACCGAAATTCCCTCAGCTAATCGCGTAAAGCTTCCTCCAGTGTCTATCCACACCACTTCCGGACCTAGAATGAGGGAGAGTACGAGGGTACACAGTAAAGGAGGGCGAGGGAAGGCACAGTGGAACAGAGGGAAGATGCAGATCAAGTGGAGGAAAGGTTACTCACCTCCTCCACACCTTCACCGAGCATGATCCCCTTCTCGAGCACGGGGAGGACGCGTCGCCAAAACTGTCTCGCATACTCGCGTTCGGGGGCTGGCGGGTCCTCGTCGAGCAGAGACAGGAGGGTGTCGTGACCTTCCTCGCTTGCCAGCACGGAGGGTGTCGGAACAGAAAGCAAGTATGCGGGACAGAGGGCGTAGTACTGCCTCCGGAGCAGCTGGAGTCCGTCCATTTCTCCTGTACTCCTGATCGCTTTGGCCGAGGTCCAGTTCGAGGTCGAAAGGAGGCGATGAAGGAGTTATGGAGGGTTGAGGTGAGATGAGGTATAGAGGAGCGGAATGTCGGTGAGGTCATGCAAGTTCTGTGGACCTGCGGACATGACCGCAACATTTCGGGGTGGCCCCTGCCCCGTGCCTGACATTGGCGCGCGATCGCATCGGCGCACGCCTATCATCAGGGACTGTGGCCCCGACATGGCCCCCGCTGACCCGCCCCGCGCCTCCCCCGCCTCGTCTCATCCGCGCGTCCGTGGTCTTCTCCAGTCCGGTCGTGCTCGGTGAACGCACTTCCTTCTGTGCACCCGGGATCCTTTGGCGCGCCCACACGCCCACCATGCTTCCATGCTGCGTTCTTAACGCCCAGCGTGTCCGAATAGATTGCATAAATCGTGAGATGGAAAGGGGATGGGTAAAAGGCTAGTTTTACTCGCTGCACGGGACGGGGTACCTGGCCACACCCGCCGCCTGCTGCGTTCACTATGTTGACTGTGCTGGCAATGATCGTTACGGGCGCTGGACTGGTAGCGCTCACTACGCTCACGCTGCTGACGCTGCACGCGCTTAGGCGCTCTTGGCGCGGACGCCGGCGGCCTGCTTGGCCCAAACCTTCTGGAGGGCCATGTACGAGGTGATGGTACCGCAGAGACCGACAAAGCCCTCGGACATGTGCGTGTAGCCAAGGTTGTTGGCGGGGATGAAGATGTCGAGCGAGTCGCCGATGAGCTGGCTCATGATCTGCTGGCGCTGAGCGAGGAGGGCACGGCCCTGCTTGCGGCGCTCGGCCTCGTCGGCCGCAGCGTCCTCGGGAGCCTTCTCCGATGAGGCGGCGCGGCCGGCGTCCGCACGGACAGCAAACCGCCTGGCCTGAGCACGGAGGTTGGCCAGCGAGGCAAGAGACGAGATGATCGAGAGCGTGAGACCGCTGATCCATGCCTTGTTCGAGATACGAGACACCTTGGCAGCCTTCCTGTGACGAGTTAGTGACGCACACAAACAGGCGAACTCACTCCTTGTCAAACTGCAGGAACTTGATGCTCTGGAGCCAGACGAGCGTGTCAGTCGACAGGAACACGGCGTAACAGAGCTGACGCGCGAACTGCGTCGTCTGCGCGATCCTCTGAGTGCGGGGAATACCGGCGCTGCTCGTCAGCTCACGTTAGGAACTTGTAAGCTTACAGAGGCTGCTCGCTAATGTTGAGGGCAGAGCGGAGGTTCTCAAGGGGCTTGAAGATACGCATCACTATCGCGGGTGTCAGTCCATGTATTGCCGGATCCCAGGAATTTTGCCACGCTCGAGCACTCACTCTTACGGCCCATGCCAAGACCACCCTTGAGGGCATTGAAGCGGGCGGCGGCCTCGACGAGACCACGACGACCGTACGACCAGGCGAGGATACGCGAGATGTACTGGATGAGACGGTAGGTCTGGAAGTGTCAGCAAGAGTAGAGGATAGGAGACACGAACCTTATCACGGCCGATGGTGGTCGCAAGGACGGCGAGGAAGGTGGAGATCTGGGGGGAGTAAAGGACCTTCTGAGCGATGGTCATGGTGGGCGATGTGTGTCCGGGGGGAAGAGTGTGAGAGGGAGGTAGAGAGGAGAGAGAGGGAAAAGAGCGTGGAGAGGGTGGGGAAGTGGTTGACAAAAGGTGGTGGTGGGAGTGTGGGTGGTGGATGTCGAAGCGACGAAGCAGCGTGCAGAGGACGAGCCGGGGGGTCGGCTTGGGAGGGCTCCTATTACCCGGTCGGTCAGTCGGTTGCTCGGGTGACGGAGTTCTCAAGCGTGCGTCACACGTGGGAGTCTCGTGGGCAGCAGCCGAAAGTAAAACAGGGGCACGCAGATAAAGAAGTCGACGCGATTGACTTCTCTTCCGTTGTGTTCAGGGCTGACCCTGGGAGTACGTGCCTGTCTGAGAGCCGTTGGCTTTCAGGTGACATGACGATGGCAGGAACACAACAACAACATTCACTAGACACACACACAACATCCTACTTAACCTTTGGTATCCTCCTCACACACTACTACTACTACTGCACCCTGTTCCTCACCACCGGAACACACATCTCCTCGTTCCTCCTTTACACACTCGCCTGGCTCATCCTATACCGCCGACGACATCACCCCCGCATCATTCTCCTCTCCGCGAGGCGAATGCTTGCGACGACATCGGCGCTTCCCCTGCGCCCCTAGGCCTTCCGACACCTCACACATAAACACCCACGGCCCTCCGCGAACCCTCGCTCGACTCTTCTCCATCACCCGTCCCCTCCTCCTCCTCAACAACAACAACAACACAGCTCACATTATGGCATACCTCGCCGACGAGAATGCCATGCGCATCTGCGGTACGTCTGCCACTCAGCTGCCTTAGCAGACACTGACATCCCTAGTCCGACCACGACCGTGGCACCCGGAGAAAGAGGCCCCGTTTCTTGCGCAGCATGTCGACATGCCCTTCTTCCTCGGAGAGGGCAACTTTGCTCAACCCAAGAAACCCCCCTCGACCGGCTCGCTGCGCGAGATCGTCGGTGAGTCCTCTTGTTTTGACTGCTGGTCTGTGCTTGGATCCGTGCTGATGCAAACATTCAGAGGTCATTGACAACCGTCAACTCGACTTTGACAAGCCTCCACCAGGCGGAGTGTCCAAGAGGGGAGAGGTCGGCGCCAAGCGTTACAAGAACCGGAGGTGGGTGCATACCCGGTGTCCTGGCTGACCCAGCAGATATGTCTTCGATCATGTTTTCAAGATGGCCGCTTCCCAGGAGGAGGTGTACGAGAACACCGCCAAGCCTCTCCTCGAGGGTGTTCTGAAGGGCTTCAATGCGACTGTGTTCGCCTACGGAGTGAGCCACTCAACTGGTACGATAGCTAATACCAGGCCACCGGATGCGGTAAAACGCACACGATTTCCGGCAACGAGAACGACCCGGGAATCATCGTTCGAACCATGCGCGACCTGTTCATGATGATTGAAGAGACCAAGGACCGGTTTGACACGCGTGTCGAGCTCTCCATGGTCGAGATCTACAACGAAACGATCCGCGACCTTCTCAGCGACGGCTTCCCGGCGATGCCAGTCCACGGTTTGAAACTCATGGAGAACGAGAAGGAGCGAGTCACGATTGCGAATGTCACAATCAAGGCGCCGACCACCGCCGACGAAGTCATGGACCTCGTCATGTTAGGAAACGAGCGCCGAAGCACCTCGTTCACCGCTGCCAACAGCCAGTCCTCACGATCCCACGCCGTTCTTCAGATCAACGTCACGCGCAGTGCGCGACGGGCCGACGTCGACTTTGAGCGAGAAGAGATCAGCTTGGACACCAACTCTGCCACGTTGTCGATCGTCGATCTTGCCGGAAGTGAACGTGCGTCTGCGACGCACAACATGGGTGCACGCATGAAGGAGGGTGCGAAGATCAACCAGTCCCTGCTCGCCCTCAGCAGTTGTATCGGTGCCCTCTGTCTCGCCCAGCGTAGAGGTTCGCGGCCGCACGTGCCGTACCGCAACTCCAAACTCACCCGGCTTCTCAAGTTCTCGCTCGGAGGCAACTGCCGCACTGTCATGATCGTCTGTGTGTCGCCCAGCTCGCGCGACATCGAGGACACGAGCAATACACTGACGTGGGCGAACAAGGCAAAGGACGTCAAGACGACAGTCTCGCGTAACGTTGGCGGCCACCAGGTGTCGGCACGCCAATACCTCGAGAAGATCGCCGAATACTCGGAGCGTATCAAGCTGCTCGAGGCTCAGCTGGAGAAGCGCGATGCCGAGTTAAACGGCGTGCGGAAGAAACAGCAGAACGAGGCGCAGCAGCGCATTCGCGACGCCGTGCGCGTCATCACGGATCGCATCGAGACCGACATTGCCGCCATCAAGGATGGTGCCGAGCATCGTGCGCTGTGGGACATTGCCGACCTTGGCCTGACCTACATGGGCAACCGCAAGGACGAGATTGACGTTGACGAGGCTTCAGTCGATCCGGAGGCGGAGAAGGCGCAGTGCCAGAAGGTCATCAACCAGTATAAGAATGCCTACGTCGAGAACCGTTCCGTTCAGGCCAAGGTTCGCCGTGAGCACGAGCTGGCGACTGGCATCGAAGCGCAGATCCAGCAGACCGAAACGCGAACATTCTCTGGCCTCGATGACGTGAACATTCGCAACCTGCATCTTGAGCTTGCTGCCCAGCGCCACCGCATCGCCGAGGCTGTGTCGGACGCCCGCCAGCGTGGCTACCGCACGTCCGCTGCTCGCTTGCAGGACATTCTCGCGCGGTGCATCATCGCTCTGTCGCGTCAGGACACGATGATCCGCCGCAACAAGAACGATGTCGGCGCTCTGATGACCGCGACAGCGGCGCAGCAGTCCGACCTTCTTGCCCAGATTGCGCGCCGCATCACCGGCGCCGCCGATGTCAGCAGCAATGAGCTGCGAGCCATTGTTGACTCGATCGGCACTATGGACAGCCTCCCTCCCCAATCTCCAGCCAAGCCAGCGGTGCCTCCTGTTCTCGCTGCGCTCCGCTCCCCGGACAGCTCGTTCAGTAGTCTGTCGCCGGGCTCGCCTCGCGTCAAGCGCCTCTCGAAGGGCCACGTTGCGGGCAAGCTGAACTCTCCGCGCAAGTCAGCTCCTCGAGCGCTGCGGCGATCGTCCCTCGGCCCGACGGCGAAACCGGCACGAACAGCGCGCTTTGCAGATGAAATGGACCTTGAGACTGTGCACCACTTCTCTCAGCACGGCAACGACACCTCCAATAGCATGGAGGTTCTCGACGACTCGGCCGATTGGGAGGAGGTGGCGGAGACGGTGAAGCCGATCCCGGCGAGCAGGCTGCGCGTTTGCTCGACGCCGGCACCATTCACCGTCAGCGAAGAGGCGCCCGCTCCGCCCCCGCCAGCGCCTGCACTGGCTCTTGCACCCATGCCCACCACCACAGCTAAACCTTCGCCATCGCGGCCCCCGTCCTCTGCATCTAACCACGAGCCCAAGGCGTCGCCGATGTCTGAGTCGATCCCGGAGTGGAAGAAGAACCGTATGCTTCTCGGCAAGTCCTCCATGAGCAACTTGAACGGTGGCGGAGCGCCATCATCCCCCAACACATCTGTACAGGACGGTTCACCGATGAACCGCTCCATGGCTGGTTTAGGCTTAGGCCGCCCCGTGCGACGCCCTGGTGCGCCTCTCGGCGAGCTGAAGCAGTTACCCAGCTTGCGAGCATCGGTGTCGTCGCGGCTCATGGAGCCAACCGCATCGTCCGCGGCCCGTAACAAGGGAGCTACGGAGACGCCGTCCCCCGCCCCCGTTCCGGAAAGCAGGCGCATGAGCATGAGCGTGCGCAACGAGCGGAAGAAGCTGCACAAGGCAGCTCCGTACGGGCGCAAGGTCAGCCTGATCCCCTCCCCTGTCCATTCGCCCGGCACGTCGCCGCGCGGCTCGCTCACGGGCAACAACAAGAAGAGCCCGCCCAAGAGCAAGACGGCAATGACGCTCAGCCTCGGTCCCGGTGCCGCTACCGCCGGCCTGAGGAAGAGGCCGAGCATGGTCCTCGGCGCGAGCCAGATTGGAAACACGTCCCTCCCGCCCTGGAAGTAGATTGTACTATAGTGTGACACCTGATTAGATATGACATACGCGAGCTGCTGGCGCAGTAAGCAGTGAGTAATGGACTCTTTGTGCATGTGCAGCTTTTTGGTGGCAGTGGTGAACGGGCGTGATCGCAATTTGCCACCCAAGCACCCAGAAAGGGTTAGCCGTGTTTCGGCCAGGTCAGGCGCGGGGTGGAATTGTTTACACGCGTTTCATCGCGACTTGCTTCCTACTTGTCCTCCTCTTTGTCTTTCACTCTGACTTTCACCACACTCACTCCACCTCGATCTTGGACAGAAGTGCAACAGACGGACCCGATGAGCGCAATGACCTTTGCGCCCCGTCGGCCATACATCCTTCTCGCACCGGCGGCGCTGGACCTGCTCCTCCTCACCCAGCCTGGTCCGACATATCTGCGGTTACTCTGCCTCGCGCGCGCGTCTGTTCTGATCGGCTTGACATTTGCTGCCCGATGGCGGAAACGCACACTCGCCCTCGTCGTCCCGCTCGCTAGCGTTCTGGCGTGTGTCTGGGAGACATGCAAGAGTACGCTATACAAGTACCCCAGCGCGCCGGGTGATGGTGATGGAGACGGCAGTGGAGGAGGGAAAGGAGATTGGGACGAGTGGTACGGTCCCGAGGCGAGCGCAACATACTTGGCTGAGGTGAGCTAGCCGGTACGCGCAAATAGCTGACGAGACAGACCTGCGTCCTGGCCCTTGGAGAGATTGTGAGTCCTCCTTCCCCGTCGACGCGCTCTCAACAGCTGGTAAACATAGTGCACAAGCTGACATCAGCTTCTCTACACGCTCCTTCTGCGGTTGACGCCCCGCTTCCCGCCCCCGCGTCCGCCGCAGCATCGGCTCCCGCACAGTCCCCAGACGCCGTCGCCATTACCCGCCGACCGAGGCTTTCTCTTTGGCTCGCTCCGCTCCGCCGCAGCTCTGCGCAAACCCTCACCTCTTGGACCTGGACGCTCGTGCTCTGCCCCCGCGCCTCCCTCTGGCTTGCGTCCATCAGTCTCAGGCGCGACGCTCGGTGAGGATTTGGCGCCGAGCGCATCGTCTGCGTCTCTGTCTTCCGCCTCCGACGCTGGTTCGTTAGGCACCTCGCCCTCCCCCGTCACCGGTCCTAGTCCGGAACGCTTATCGCCCCACTCCCAGAGGGTCGTTAGTGGCTCGTCCTCTGGTTCAGCAGCTTTACGCGCCAAAGAATTGCGTGATGACGAGAGGAGCGAAAGCGCAGACCTGGTGGGACCGCTGCGTGTCTCTCCGCGCACGCTGTATGCCGACCTGCCCCCGCACACCACTGTGGACATTGAGGCCGGCACGTATGATGACGGGTACGAGAGCTCCAACTCTGAGAGCAGCATCATCGACATGCCCCGTCGTCGTGTGGCTCCGCTCGATGCAGAGAGTATAGGAGAAGTTGCCGAGAACGCTTCCGCGAGCGTGATCAGCGTCGTGGCCGGTATTGGGGGCATCGTGCGCCGGAGTGCCAGTAGAGGACTTCTGGGTACGAGTCCGGGATACGGAACGTTTGACCAGTAGTAGTTCTTGAGGACAAAGCTCTCTTTTTTCCACGATTGATACGACTTTAATGACACTGGGATGACTTCTACGCCTCTGCATTTAATGACTACATGCGCTTTGTTCTACGAGGAACAAACCGGAATCTCTCTCTACTAACACCTTGTCCCCTGACTACGCGCGCTGTCTGTACTCGCTGGCTCGCCGCTTACTCCTTCGGGATCGCGCCCAGCTCGTACAGGTACGAGCCGAGGAGCTTTGTGCCGTTGATGTAGTTGCTCGTGTCGATCTTCTCGTTGGTGGAGTGGGCGCCGTCGTCGCCGCGTCCCACAGGCAGGAGGAGAATGTTGATGCCGAGCTCATTGGCAAAGTCGAGCGTGACGGGGATCGACCCTCCCTCGCGGGTGTAGTCGGGCTCCTGGCCGTAGACCTCCTGGGTGGCCTTGTGGGCGGCGCGGTAGCTGTAGTGGTTGGGGTCGGCGATCCACGGCTCGCCGCCATGGTTGGAGACGACCTTGAGGCGGTTCTTGGATCCGAGCTTCTTGAATTCGGCCTGGAGGTAGTCCTCGACGAGCTTGTTCGTCTCGTCCACCGTCAAATTGGGCACGAGGCGGATCGAGAACTTGCCCTTGACGCTGCAGGGGATCACGGTCTTGGAGCCGGGGGCGTAGAACGCGCCCTCGATGCCGTGCAGCGAGAGACTGGGGTTGCGCATCCGGCCCATCAGCGTCTTGACCGTGTCGTCGCTGAGCGTCTGGTCGCCGCCGACCGCGCCCTGGATGTCGCTGATGGCAAAGTGGATCTTCTCGAATTTGGACTGCTCGTCCGCCGTCACGGGCGCGATCAGCTCCTTGATCCCCGGGACGAGGATCTCGCCCTGCGGCGTGACGAGCTTGGACATGAGCGCAATGAGGTCCGTCATCGGCTCGTGGATCGTGCCGCCAAACACACCACTGTGCAGGTCGCGGTCCGGGCCGTCGACGCACACCTCAAAGTAGCAAATACCGCGCAGGCCGTAGGTGAGGCAGGGCGTCTTGGTGTCGAGCCAGTAGTTGTCCGAGATACACATGCAGTCCTGGTTCGCGAAGAAGCCGTCCTTCTCCTTGTGGATGAACTCGGCCAGGCCCTCCGAGCCGCTCTCCTCCATGCCCTCAAAGACCATCTTGAGGTTGACGGGAAGCTCGAGGCCGAGCTTCTTGTGCGCGTCCAGCACGTTCAGCCACGCCATCACGGGACCCTTGTCGTCCGTCGCGCCGCGGCCGTACAGGCGCCCAGATCCAGAGGGGTCCGGCGTCAGCGTGAACGGCTCGTAGTCCCAGCCGTCCTCCTTCAGCGCAGGCTGCACGTCGTAGTGCCCGTAGATCAGCAGGTTCTTCTTCTTCGGGTCGTTGCCGATCTGGCCAATGACGACGGGCGGGAGAGCAACCTTCTCGCCGTCAATCTCGTGCTCGCCGATCGGGCACTTCTTGACCTCGACACCCAGGTCGGTGAGCTCCTTCACGAGGAAGTCGGCCATGTTCTCGACATCCTTGACGTACTGCAGGTTGCCCGAGACCCTGGTTATCAGCTTATCACAGGCCTGACTCGACAGCTTACTCACGAGGGGATCTCGACGGCAGACTTGAGACGCTGGATGAAGTCGTCCTGGTGCTCGTCGACGTACTTGAGGAAGTCGGGGTTGGCTGCCATCGTGCTTGTGTTTGTTCTGGTGGCAAAGATGAAGAGGGGATGGAGGGAGAAAAAGAGGAGAGCGAGATGAGCATGGCGGTAACGGACACGCAGTGACTGGCTGGTTACACTCGTTACCGCATGGGCAACAGGGTCGACACGTGACGTCGCACCCTCCTTTTGCGGGGTCTCCGCCGGCCTCATGCGACGTCGGCACGGAGCTTGCCAAGACTTACGCCGCAGTGTCGCAAAGCGCAGGAATAGCAACGTGACGGATGTACTGAGGAGCGTGCATGCATGCCGGCCGTTGTGGAAGCGAAGAGTGGGTGAGCTGCAGACAACGGCCGGTGTGTCTTTGTCGCATCGTCCGTGGTGTCGTAAGCTTGACCGCCCCTGACGCCATCCGTGGCTTGAACTCGCCGGTGACCAACGGCGACTGGCGAAGAGTGGCGCTCTGGCTGCCTCTGCTCAACTTCTATGTCTTGTGGCCAGCCGAAGTCTCATAGTTGCTCAGTTCAACCGCATGCTCAAGTGTTCCAAGTGGTCGTGCATAGCAGTCGAAATATCGTTGTATGACAGGGATGCGGAGTGCAGGTGCGGCCCATCTTGTGGCTGTGTTGTCGACGAAACTACAGAAAGCAGACGGCATGAGCAGTCAAATGCACTAGAACGACGACAACAGCCAGTGCCCTACGCTACCAGACGCCCTGGGCAAAGGTTAAAATCATTATCTCACGCTCGGCGCAGCGGACCGGCTCCGACTCATAGATCCAGCTCGGCTCACTGCTCGTAGAAGAGTGGTGGCGCAGGGCAACGCAGCGTTAGCGCCGAGCCAGAGCTCTGCAGGCAGCGGCGCGCGACTCGGCAGTGATGCTTCAGAGCCGGTACCTGGTGCGAAGCCTGCGACGCGACTGATTTCGCGCTGCGGAAGCGCGAGAGCGTGAGGGGATCGCTGACTTTGTGCATCGCGACCCTCCTCGCCGCTCGCGCTGCTGCGTCTTCCCTCAGCGCTGCGCTCTCACATAAACAGAGCTTCTTGCCGCTCATCTTCTTCTTTCTCTTCTCCCTTCTCCAAGACGGTTCCACCTCATCCATCCCCCTCCCAGAGATCGTTCCCCGCGCCGTCCACCCCCTAATATAGTGCTGCTTCCTCCGCCCATTAATCCCCTCTCCCATTCTTGTTCCAACCTTTCTTGAGAGTAAAGCGCACAACATGTACCCGCAACACGGCCGTCACGTCTCGTACCAGGTCCAACCCGCCTTCTCTCTCGAGAAGGCGCTCATGATGAGAACGCACTCGACCCCGCAGGCCCAGCTGCTGCGTATGCAAGCTGCCCAGGTCGTCAACACTCGCCCGACCAAGCACAGCCAGCACAGGTCTACCCTCTCGCAGGGTGGCAAACCCTTCAAGGTGAGCTCTTCCTTGAGAGTCCAGCTGACACCAGCCTCGCTCCCAGGTCGAGATCATCGGCCCCTTCAAGACACAGGTGCACAACCTGTCCAGCAGCGAGTACTCTGGCAGCACCGAGAGCTCGCCCGAGCAGCATGTGTCGCCCTCGGCATCCCTCCTTGCCGCTCACCGCAACGCGCAGATCAAGCCTCCCAGCCTTTCCCCCAAGACGCCCACTCGCAAGGGTCCAGTCTCTACAGCCCACCTCCTCGAGTCGCCGGCCAATGACACCGACTGGGTCGCCTACTCTGCCCCCATTCCCGAGCTGGATGAGGTCAACTCTGACATCGGAGATCACAGTTTTGAGAGCTTTGACAGCGAGTCCATTGCAAGCCGTTCCTCCACCCCCGACACCATGATTGAGCGCACGCTGGACACCGCCTCTGGGTCAGCTTCCTCGTCGACGACCGAGTGTGATGATGAGCAGGTGAGTAACGATCAGTCGGCGGCAACTGACATTAGCCCCCCAAGCTTGTAGAGACGAAGCGTCTGCTCGTTCAGAGCACGGTCGAGACCCCGGAGCTCACGCCTGCCGCTTCGCCGGCTCCCACCCTGGTCCCTCTTCCGATCCCTTTCTCTCCCGAGAGCAAGAAGGTGGTCGAGATCGCCCTTCAGCCTGCGACAGCTCCTCCTCCCGCGTTCAACTGCGACGCTTGCGGCAGTGAGCACGCTCGCATGATGCTGTTCCAGCCCTGTGGCGACCTCGCCTGTCCCTCGTGCTTCTCGTCCAGTCTCGCTGCGGTGTCTGTCACGCAGTCGGCTGCCAAGTGCCCTTGCTGTCTGACTGAGGTGAGCTCGTTCGACGCGTACAACCCCAAGGATCACGTCCCTCTGCGCCGCGTCGCTCGTCCTGCCAAGGTTCAGCAGGAGCTTGAGCCTGTGTACTGGTCGTTTGAGAACAGTCACAAGACTGTCGTCATGCGCATCGACAATGTCGCGTGGGACATTGAGCCCCACCTCGTCGAGAGCTGGCTGCCCAAGAACACGCTCCCCATCGGCCACCCTTGCCCCGTCCACATTTGCATCAACCGCAAAGATGGTCGCACCAAGGACTACCTCTACTTTGAGGCTGCGTCCCAGGATGCCGCTCGCCGCGTTCTGCAGAAGTGCCAGAACACCTTCATGCCTGGCGGTCGTGTCACCTCTGGCCGCAAGCGCCCCGTCACCGTGTCCCAGGTCTCCCACTCTGAGCTTCTGCGCGAAGTCTCTCCGACCACCAAGGCTGAGCTCACCTCGCTTCTCGAGCTCTGCGAGGCTGCGCTCTCGACTCCTCCTCCCAAGCTCCGCGTTGACTCGTCCGGTCGTGGTCGCCTGCACGCCTCCGTCGGCGCCAATGGCAAGGTCCACTATCTCAAGTACCGTCACGCCCCTTTCCACTCGCTCATGTCCCTCATGTGCGAACTCCGTGGTGACCCCGACTCGCCGGCGTACTGGGACTTGTTCCACATTGCCTCGGGTGCCATTGCCGCGCTTGCATCGGCGATTCGCGTTCGCCTGCACCATCCCGAGGACCACACTCTCATGAAGCACTTCAAGTTGCTGTTCCAGGAATGTTTCGGCCTCGTGCAGCAAGACTCGGGTGCAGCCCCTCCGACTCGTCCTCGTGGCCGCATGTCGCGTCGCGGGTCGCCCAGGAAGCAGTAGAGAAGATAGCATGACTTACTCATAACCCCGATTATTAGCCCTATACCCTGAAAAAGGCTGGCTGAAGATGTCGCTGGTCGTGTGCATGACGCACACTGGTCTCGCTGTAGATTGTAATATTGCCCACCATTAAGATATTGTTGTAACAAGTGCATGTAGCCAATGGTCTGTTGTGAAATAATGAAGCGGAACACCGGTGGTGGTTGTCGGCCAGGGAGTTGCGGGGCATGACGAGGCAGCTGCCGGATAACCGGGATAAAGAGGAGCAATGATTGGTCGAGCTGATAACGTCAAGTCCGGTCCCCGCCTGGCAGTTGACCGATATGAGCGCACGTCGTACGCAACCGTCTGCTTTCACATCCATACACTCAATCAAAAGCACTCCAGAACAGTGAGCTGAACATCAGCGAAGGAAGCTAACGCCAGATGTCTGCCGTCACTTGCCACGGTATGCAGCTGACTTGGAAGGCAAGAAGCTAACGCCAGTTCTCGACACCACCCGCGGCTGCCCCGCTCAGGGCATGGACATTGCCCTCCTCAAGCTCGAGGGAAGCGGCGTCAACGCCAAGACGACGCAGGTTGGCTCTGGGTGAGTACAGTGAGCGAGCTGCAAGGGCCTAGATCACGGTGGCTGCAGCATTAGCTGTATACCGTTGACCGACGAGGCTCGCACGCCCTCCAAACCGTTCATGTGACCTCTCGTCATCGTCGGATCTCTCTGGACAGAGTGGTCCAGACGAGCGAACTATGAGAATGAAGGACATGTATCGTTATGAGGGATTGACAGCTTCGATGGGCTCGAATAAGCTGACGAACAGAACGACCGACGCTGCCGGCCGCTGCGACACGCTCACCAAGGGCCCCTCGTCCAAGGGCGTGTACAAGCTCGTCTTTGGCACGGGCGACTACTTCAAGGCGCTCAAGATGGACACCTTCTTCCCGCTCGTTGAGGTGAGTACAGCCGTGGGTTCGCGGGGGTAGCGTGCAGCCACCGGCCGGTCTGCCCAGAGGCTGCGAAGTTGTTTCGGCCGCGCTAACAGTATAGATCTCCTTCAACCTCGCCGACGAGGACGAGGCGTACCACATCCCGCTCCTCGTCTCGCCCTTCTCCTACACGTCGTACAAGGGCCAGCACGGCGGTGCCAAGAAGAAGTGAGTGAGTACTCCTCCGCGATGCCGACAGGCATCGCCTCAGATCCCCGTTGACAAGCAGGGAGGCCAAGCTCTAAATCAGCCAGCCGATGTAGAGGAAAAGAGAGCCTTGTAGGCGTCGTGTTTTGTCGTAGCGAGCTCGGTGGGAAGGGCCATAGAAGTTGTTTACGTTGTACAAAAATGCATCGTGCTGAGTTCTGTCTGCTTCTACGCTCTACGCGCTCTGCTACGCTCGGCTCCGTCTATGTCTGTCTCTACCACTGGGTCAGGCGGCTCTCGCTGCCTGAGGGTCCAGTGCCGCGCACCTGGTCATTCCGCTCGTCTACACAGCGAGGCGCATACGCAAGCGAGATGTACACGCCTGTACGCCTGCACGCTTCGCTTGCAGTTTGCTTAGAGCTCCGCGAGCACACCCATAGCAAGGCCCTGGGTGACCTGGTCGCCGAGGTTCTTCTCGACAGCCTCCTCGAGATGCCTCTTGGGGTCGAGCTTGCCGACATGGCGGGTCTTGAGCTGTTCGGGGGTCATGGTGGCCTCCTCCTGGACGCTCTTGGTGTATGCCTCGGCGAGCTTGAGCATCTGCTTGGCCGTGTCCTCGTTCTTCTCCTCGGTCTTCTCAAAGTCGTCGAGCTTGAGGCCCTCCGTCCATCCGCGCTTGTGCAGGTTCAGGAGCATGCCCTGTTCCGCCTCCGACTTGCGATACTCGATCGCGAGAGAGTAGTAGTGTCGGTTCAGGCCGTGGATCAGCGCCTGAATCGAAGGCTTGTTCAGGTGGCCAATGTTGGACGTCGTCTGTCGCGACTCCTGGCCCGTCATCAGCGACTGGGGCGAGATCGAGCGGAAGGCGTCGATCACGACCTTGCCGCGCACGGACTGAATCGGGTCGATAACCACGGCGACGGCACGGGGGTGAAGCTGCTCGAACGACTGCTGCGTGTTCACGTCAACGGACGAGAGCCAACATCCGAATCCGGGGTGAGAGTGGTACCATCCGACGACCATCTCTGGGCTGTAATTGTCAGCTTGTTGATCTCGGGGCACACAGCTGGAGGACTCACCGTCCGGTCTGCTTCAGCATGTCGAGCATCTTCGTCTGGAAGACGTGGTCGACCGACTCGACGGTTACAGTCGTTCCGGACTGCGGCATCGCGAACACATCAACGCAGCGGATCGTGTAGTCGTCCACAAACTCGCCCAGCATCAGGCCCATCACCTCCATGGGAACACCGGCGCGGCCGTGCTTAAGCATCTGTATTGTCAGCTGGTGCACATCCGGACGTCAGCTACCTTGAGGAGAGCGAGAGCCGAGATCTGAACAGTCTCTCCGCTGTTTGTCAGCTAAACGCTCACATCAAGGGAGCTCACTTGTCGGGGAGGACAATCTCCTCTCCACGAGCTTGGCTCATCTGGCCTCGCATGAGCGCCTCCATAGCCATGGCGCGCGAACTCATGTTCTGCATGTTCGAACGGGGGTAGGTTCTCGAATCAAAGGGATATGCGCGTGTCGGGTCGTGCGGAACGAGGAGTACCGGGCGTAGGGGGTCTGTCCGGAGTTGTTGTAAAAGCTGAAAGCAATGTGCTTTGGTGGTGATGAGTAAGGAAGAGAGTGATGGCGAGGTTGAGTGAACATTCGATGGCCCTCCATGTTCCTCCTCACCGCGTCGCCTCTCTCCGCTGCGCTGACGACACTCAGCGTTCAGTTACGACACGGAAGCGTAACTGGCAATTCGACACCCGTGGGAATTTTACTCAGTCACGTGATGTGACGCAGATTGCCCGCCGCCCAGGCTGCCAGGGCTGAAGCCGTGTTGAGTTGGCCACTAGAGTGCCGTCTCCAACCTGTTTTGAGTCCTGTCCATCCCCCGCCAACACGGCATACACACCACCATGTCAGAGGTAAGCTGCTCTATCGCTCGGCGTAGCTGACCCACAGTACCAGCGCCAGAAGGCGCGGGCGCTCGAGCTGCAACGCAAGAAGGAGGAGCAGTTGAAGCGCGATCTCGCAGCCAAGGCGGAGCGAGAGAAGGCTGCGGCCAAGGCTGAGGAAGAGGTGAGCTAACTGGTGCGGATCTCCAGCTGACCACCCAGCGTCGCAAGAGGATCGAGGAGGCTGGGAAGCAAGCGCGCCGCCTGGAGTTATTGAAGGCTAACAGCGCTTTAACACAAGCGGGGAGCAAGTCGGCGAGTGCATTCGAGTACAACCCCTTTGCCGAGGACGCCGCACCTCCACCGCCTGTGAGTTCTTGTCAACATTGGCATGCAACACAGTCAACGTCAACAAGCTCTGCAGACCATTGGCGTGAGCTGACATACAGCCGAAGCCCAGCAAGCCTATCCCCAAGCCTGCCGCACACCGGGCCGCGGCGGCGAACGCCTCTCGCGCTGCGTCCTCCTCGGGTTCTCGCTCGACCGGCGGCGGGAGCAGTTCTGGCTCTCGTGCCAGGAAGGCGTCGCCACCAGCACTCGGACGAAAGGAGAAGGCGGCGCTCAAGCTGCAGCGTGCGAGCAAGACGTCCAAGGTCGAGGACTCGCTCTTCAGCGTGCGTGCACTCGTGGACGGGGCAGAGGGCCACTCGTCCTCTCCTGCGCCGCGGCGTGCACCGCCCGCTCCCCGCCGGGCGTCTTCGGCCGGTGCTGGCTCTGGATTGGCGCGAAGCGTGCCGGGCGCAAGCTCATCGGGACCGAAGGGCATTGCGGCGATGAAGAAGAGCGTCGATGTGTCTGGGCTGCGCAAGCTGTGTCCTGATCGCGCTACGAGGGATCGACGCACGATCGACGAGATCCAGCGTGACATTCGTGCTCGCAAGGGCGCTCCCACGTCCACTGCCTCTTCTTCCGCGCGAGATCGAGACCGCTACGGAGACCGGGACCGAGATCGCAGCCGCGACCGGGATCGTGACCGTGATCGGGATCGTGATCGCCCAAAGGCCTCGTCGAGCAAAGCGCGCCGAAAGTCCTACTCGTCCGACTATGACAGCGAGGACAGCTACGACAGCCCGCCGCGAAAGAAGCGTCGCGACGCGGTCGAGGAGCCGTCGCGTAGTGCCGTATCGGCGATGATCCAAAGCATGTTCTCGCGCGGCCGCGAGCCGAGGCAAGTCTACGACGACTATGACAGCGATGACATGGAGGCCGGCCTCGAGGACGTTGAGGCCGAAGAGAGGCGGGCGCTCAAGCTTGCCAAGCTCGAGGATCAGAAGGAGGAGGCGCTCGAGGCACAGCGCAAGGCCGAGAAGGAGCGCAGGGCGCGAGAGCGCGAGAGGGAGAGGGAGCGGATCATGCGGACAAGGTGAGCGCCGAGCTGGCGTGGAGTGTGAGCGTGGCCCAGCGGGGTCAGTCACTTGTCCCAGTATCAGTATGAGAGATCCACCCGGAGAAACCACCCACAACCCGACTGTTGTAATCATTATGCATCCACCACATATAACACTTCTACCAACACTACGCCGCACTACTAGTCGTCCTTCGGGTACACGAGCGTCTCGCCAATGTCGGCAATGACGAAACAGTTCTTGTCGGGCCACCGCTTGCTGAGACCTGCCTCTCTGCGAGCCCGTCCGAAGGTGACTCTGCTCGCGCGCGTCTCGCTCACATCCGAGAACGTGCCCCAGTGAATGCCAAAGGAGCGCTTGGCGGGGAGCAGCTTGTGGATCTCGACACTGTCCTCTGGGCTGCAGTGCATGGCAGACGTCATGGTGTACTGGTCGAGGGAGATATTGAGCGTTTTGCGGAGGAAGGGCAGGGAGCTTCCCGTGCTCAGTGGCAAGAGGGCGAGGTCAAAGGGGCCATACAACTCGGCAATCTCGCGGAAGGCCGGGCATACGGCCTCGGGGTCGTCCTCGGCGCCGGCGTAGCGGTATCCCGTGTCGCCGCCGAAGAAGGCCTTCCATCCCTTCCAGTTCAGCATGCCTGGTTCGAGCGGGTCGGGGGAGGTCTGGGCGGGGTCAATGACGCCGACGACCCAGGAGCCCCACAGCGTCGTCATCTGGTCGAACAGGCCGCGGCCGCTGCGGTGTTGGGCGGGAGTCAGGACGATCTTCAGATTCAGGCTGGCTGACTTGTCGACTTGCGCGTCGGCGTCGACTTCCGGCGCACCAATGGGGCCGCCCCCGGGCTGGGAGGGCGGATGCTGCGTTGTTGGCTCCTTGGCTCCCTCACCTTCGCCCTCGGCACCATCGCCCTCGCCCTCGCCAGTCAGGTCCTCCTCCCCATCTGGCGACCCAGGCGTGGACGTAAAGCTGACGAGCGTCTCGTGCCACCAGTCCAGCTCCGTCACTCGATGCGCAGGCACGCCAGAGTAGTAGTGGAACCACTTGCCGAGCCCGAGGGGGACGAAGAACTGCACCGTGCGGTGGTGGAAGGCCCACAAGTCCAAGATCGTGTTGTAGTCGAGGTGGTCGTAGTGATCGTGAGAAATCAGAACAGCATGGATGGGCGGGAGCTGGTCTACACCACACGGCGGGTCGAGGTATCGCGCAGGCCCGAATGACTGCACGGGAGAACAGCGCTGCGAAAAGATTGGGTCGAACAGGATGGAACACATGTCCGCTGGCAGCTGGCTAGACACTGGGTCGGCGGAAGGCGGTGTCTGCCACGGGATACGAAGCAGGACACTGGCGTGGCCGAGCCAGGTCACTGCCGGTGCGGCGCAGGGTGCCCACGCCGGACGCACAACACGGAGGGGCGGCTCGCGCCAGTCGTCCGCCTCGTCGTCGGCTGCCATGTCCTTCAGCTCCGGGCGGATGTAGCATGTAATCTCCTCCTGGGGGTGTTGGCTGTTCAGCGTCTCGCCGCATTCCTCGGCGTACGTCTTGCCTGTGTCTTCCTCGCCGTCCTCGGTGCCTTCTCCGTCCTGCTCCCTTCCCTCTCCGTCTTTCTCTCCATCCGCGTCCTTCGACGACGACCCAGCGACCGTCGAGCTGGCAGCCGCATCTGTGTCGACCAGAGTGGCCTCGGACTTGCTCACGTCCTTGTTCTGGCCCTCGGCTGCTGAGGGGCCACTGGCAAGGCTGGGCGAGTTGCGTCCCGGCGTCTGAGCTGGAGAGCAGCACGACTGGGCGGGAGCTACGGCCGCGCCCTTCTGGTACGCTGTCCAGAGGTCTGTGGGTGTGGCCATACGGAAACTCTTCCATGGATTGTGGAATTGCGTCGGTGTGTCGAAGAGCTTGATTCCACTTGCCTGCGCGGGACCATGATGCGCGTTATCGAGTCCTGGGCGGGGCGGGAGGAGACTGACGCGAGGCGCGCTCATGCTGTCTGCTCTGTTTCCGGGGGCCGATGGTATGTAATCAAGTAGGAGAGTGTGGTGAGAATGACAGCTGTGTGCTTGCAATGAGGAGTGTGTGGAGAGTGAAGAGAAGGAGAGGGAGTGGATACTGCCTGTTGGATTGCAGCACGTAACAGGGCGCGACTCTGAGAGTTGTCACTGAAACCCACCCAAATACGTCACTCCCCGCTCCAGCGATCCAGAACCGTTCAGGCACGGTCAGCGCCAAGCCCAACACGCCCAAGCCACCAGGTGATGACAAGCTCCATTCAAAAAGGAAAAGTTGGCCTGGTGACCACATGCATGGTGTGCATGTGTGCGGCGCTGTTAGGTGCAAGAGTCGTTGAACCCAGCGGCGGATCTGAGAAGCAACGCGGTGGGATCGTGCTTGCAACTCATCGGTGCAACTGGAACACGTGCGCAGCGCGTCTTTGCTTCTGTCTGACTAAGACGAAGCAACGCAAGGAAGAGCGAGAGCCCAGTCTGAGCCGCAGCTTCGATGTCTGGTGATTACGCGCAGATACAACATGACATCGCGTCGGGTCTCTATACAAAGCATGCTGGGTGGGATTACTTGCCGCCGCAGTGGCCGAGCGTGAGCCCGCACCAATTCGCGAACAAGAGGTACAGAATGAACTGAATGTCAGTTCAGCCAAGCATCGTCGTAACTCACGACACAGACGACGCCCGTGAGGACGGTGATCTTGGTGTTCTTCCACCACTGCTGGCGGCGAACAGCGCGCGCTCCGCGGCGGAAGGCGTACGCCTGTCCTGCGAGCGTGTCCGTCTTGTCGACGAGGAGGTCGAGCCGCTCGCCGCGTTGCAGGATCGAGTCGATGTTCTGCACCATGATGTCCTTGCTGCGCGGGTCAGCTTAGCTATACCAGTCAGCTATTAGTGCACGCACACATTGTCGAGGTCGCTGCGCGCCTGCTTCAGCGGGTCGGCCGGTGGGGCCTCCGTGTATTGCTGCATGAGCTATATGTCAGCTTCCACCCTTGTAGAAAGCTTACCTTGGACAGCTCGCTCTCAAAGTCATCGAGTCCATGGTCACCTGCGGCCTGGACCGTCTCGGGAGAGTACTGGTTCGTGAACTGATGTCAGCCTGGGGAACCCCCGCTTTTTGCTCACACGTCGCTCGACCTCGGCGAGGAACGCGAAAGGCATACGGCGCCCGACACTGTCGTCGGCCATGACGAGGTACACGACGCCGTCCGAGGACACATAGTGGATCAGGCGGTCTTGCCACACGTCTGGGAGTCAGCTACCGTCGGGGGTTTGCGAGCTCACAGGTAAGCTTGGAGTTGTTCGGCGGGATCTTGGACAGGATCGTGATTTTGGCAGCTGATCGTTAGCAATTTCAGCGTTCGGTGTAACGAACCAGGCTTCAGTAACGCATCTCCGGAGGAGTGCTCCGCGAGGACGGTCGTGCCGCGCGCAACGAGCGCTTGAAGGAGGGACATTGCTGATGATGTGTGTGGTGCTGAGCTAGCAGCGACGATCATCTCGAGGTCGACTTCATGACGTTGGGTGGCGGGATGCATCCGTCCTTATGCGGCCCGCCCCTAAGCACGAAGGCGCGACTAACTTGTGCACACCCTCGCGCCTTCAAACATCCTCTCACCTTGTCCCTCCTTCCGTCGATACATACACTACGTCGGCAACGGCCACAACATTGGCCAGATCGAGTGAGCCGCCAGCGGCTCGACGCTCGATCCGACCTGTCCTTCAATATCGTAATCAACCCGCCGACACCACCTTCCCTATTGTTCCCATCTCGCACCGACTTGAAAGATGGAGACGCCGAACACGCGCAGCACCCGGCGGCGGAAACGGCCCGACGACACACCAGGCAGTCAAGGCTCTCAGCCCAACTCTCAGGAGGGTAGCGGCATCACCTGGTCTCGCGACACGGAGCTGCTCGACACGGTGCTTGCCGGTCCCTCACGTCCCCTACCGCTACCGTCACCGACGCAGCGTCCGCGCGCGTTCTCTTCGCGCTCAACGAGTGGCCCTCGCAAGCGACCGTGCCGCGTTCGCTCTGCAACGCCCTCACTAAGCTCGAACTCGCTCTCGACAAGCCCTTGGACGTCCTTATCAACGAACGTATCGTCAAGATCGACGGAGGGGAAGGCAGCCTACGACGGGAAGAGGTTAGATAATCAACCCGCCGACACCACCTTCCCTATTGTTCCCATCTCGCACCGACTTGAAAGATGGAGACGCCGAACACGCGCAGCACCCGGCGGCGGAAACGGCCCGACGACACACCAGGCAGTCAAGGCTCTCAGCCCAACTCTCAGGAGGGTAGCGGCATCACCTGGTCTCGCGACACGGAGCTGCTCGACACGGTGCTTGCCGGTCCCTCACGTCCCCTACCGCTACCGTCACCGACGCAGCGTCCGCGCGCGTTCTCTTCGCGCTCAACGAGTGGCCCTCGCAAGCGACCGTGCCGCGTTCGCTCTGCAACGCCCTCACTAAGCTCGAACTCGCTCTCGACAAGCCCTTGGACGTCCTTATCAACGAACGTATCGTCAAGATCGACGGAGGGGAAGGCAGCCTACGACGGGAAGAGGTTAGACGAGCTCCTGGAGCAATTCGACCTGTTCCGTACCCCGTCATCCAGCTCAGCGCGCAGTCAAAGACAACCGCTCGGAGAACGCACGAATCGGATCCAGGCTGCACAGAGTCTGCCGAACGTCAAGACGCAAGCAGTCAAGACCAAGAAGGACGTGAAGCCTGTTATCGCGCGTGAGCCTGTGAGGGGCACGCCAGTCGGCAGTGCGCAGAGTCTGCCCGACGTCCAGTCCGATCTCCGCGCGCTTGCAAACAATGCTCGTCCTCCGGCCTTACCCCGCGTTCAGCCTAGAGTGAAGAAGGAACCAGAGGAGGTCGACCCGCGCCGGCCCTTCCGCACGCCATGGGCCAAGCCGCCGGGCGTCTCGCCATCAACAAGCGCCGCGGTCAGCACGCCCGTCCGCTCATCGCCGAGACGCAAGCCGCCTGTTGATTACAGTCCCCGTTCGCTCCGTGCCCCTGCTGCGCGCGCGACACCATCGCGCCTGCGGCAAGCACACCCGCCCCCACTCCCGCCGCCCGAGGAGCAAATGCCCAGTTCCGAGGGCGACACGAGCGTCGACTCGTTCGACATGCTCCTGAACGAGGGCGGGGATGACGTTCAGGACCTCTTCTCGATGATGGACGCGTACTCGTAGCGTGTGCGCGGCGCACTGCTGGCCCTGGTTGTTGTATCATAGTCTTTCTTTCAGTATTCATAGCCAAACCCTCATAGTTCATTCGTCTCTGTACAATTTCGCACTCGCATGCATGTCCTTCGGCCCACTTGGTATACATGTCTATGGATCTACACGAAGCTTGCGCAGCGGAACGAAGTGCTCACTCCGTTCGCAGGCGCTCGCACTCGCGCGCTTACTGCTCCTTCTGCTCGTCGAGCGGCTTGACTGGGGGCACGGCGCTGACGGCGGGGACGTGCTTGAGCATGCGGCCCCACGCACGCTCGTACTGCACAGCGGGGGCGGCGGCGACGCCGAGCTTGACCGCGGCGTCGAGGGGGAAGTCGACCCCGCGCAGGACCTCACGGCCGAAGAGGACGACGTCGGCCTGGCCGGTGGCGAGGATCGTCTCGGCCTGCTCCGAGTCGGTGATCAGGCCAACGGCACCGACAAGCAGGCCCGGGACGTTCTTCTTCACGTGCTCGGCATACGGCACCTGGTATCCGGGGCGGACGTCGATACGGCCCCTGCCGTCGTTACCGCCGCTGGAGACGTCGAGGAGGTCTACGCCCGCATCGCGCAGCTTGGCCGCCAGCAACGTCGTCTGCTCGATGCCCCAGTACGCCCACTCTTCCTCGCCCTTGGGGGTCTCCAGCTTCTCGGGGCCGGTGTACTCGAGCCAGTCCGTCGCGCTGATGCGGTACAGGAGCGGGCCGGACCAGCGCCTGCGCACCTCGGCAACGACCTCGAGCGACATGCGTGTGCGCTTCTCAAAGCTGCCGCCATACGCGTCGGTGCGGTGGTTGCTGAGCGGGTCGCAGAAGTTGTGGTTCCAGTACCCGTGCGCGCCGTGGATCTCGATGTAGTCGAAGCCGATCTTCTTGCAGCGCTCGGTCGCCGCGCCGAACGCCTCGACAATGCTCTGGATGTACGCGACAGAGGCCTCGCGCGGGTCGGGGTTCGCGTCGTCGTACGGGATCGCACTGGGGCCGGTCACATTCTCGGGCCATCCGCCGACGGAAGAGGGCGCGACCTCGCCGCCCTTCCACCCGTTCTCCGTCGCGAGGCGCTGCACCCACGGCGCATTCGTGGAGGCCTTGCGGCCCGCGTGAGCAAGCTGGATGCCGATCTTGGCACCCTGGGCGTGCACAAAGTCCACGACGCGCTTCAGCGGCGCAATGTGCTCGTCGGACCAGATACCCATGTCCTGCGGCGAGATGCGGCCCTCGGGAACGACACCCGTCGCCTCAATCATCAGGTTGCCCCAGCCGCGCAGGGCCATGGAGCCGTGGTGCACGAGGTGGAAGTCAGTCGCCTTGCCGTCGTCAGACGAGTCTGGAGAAGTTAGCCTTATCGGTCCGAGATAAGATCGCCGGAGGCTATCGAGGCGAGAAACGCCCATTCGCGCGGACCCCGGAGATACTTACACATGCACATCGGCGCGACCCACATGCGGTTCGGCCAGGTAACGCCGCGGATCGTGATGGGCTTGAAGAGCTGGGCCTGGCGCTCAGATCCCTCCTGCTTGAGCTCGCTGCCGATGGTCACGGCCTGGAGGGGCATGTAGGTCGGGTACTCGGCGCTCTGGGCGGGGAAGGGGGCCATGGGGCGGGGCGCCTCAGGCAGGGGCCCGGGCTGGTACGCGCCAATGTTGTTGGGGAGCTGCTTGGACTCGCTCATTGTAGTGCTACAGGTCTGGATGTGTTTAAGGGATGATGGGAGACAAGAACAGCAGCGTATGTGCAGGCTTTATAGTTGCTGGAAAGAAGTTCTCGAAATGTCTCCACATGCTGCCCCGTGCTACCTCCACCGCCGGGCCGGCGGCTTACAAACCACCACCCTCGCGCAGCGTCACGTCATAGGCGGAGAATCCCGTCGACCCTGCCCTTCCTCGCGTAATCTCCACATCATGTCAACAAAGATTGTTGAAAAACTGCCGGTGTACTGGGAAACCCACCGATCTGACAAAGCATGCTGCACATGAGGAGGACAACCTCTACCGCTGCGATCCACGGAGCAGATTTAGGCCGCTTCGGCTCCGTAGGTGACATGCTTAGCGAGCAGACGCGAGCAGATACACCTCCGCCGATCGATCGAAAGGCCCAGGTGGCTGAGCCAAGGCTGGAATGGAAGATCGACCGGCCGGCACGGCCGGCGGGTATGTCGTCTTGGCACCAAATATTTGCAGACCAACGCAGCTCCGACAAAGATATACATAGCCTGATGCAAGAGCACAAGCTGCTCGCCCCCTCTGATACTTACTCAGCTTTGGCTTACTTCATGCTATCCCACTACGACCCTTCCCCTCCAACCGACTGTCCGTTCGCAAGCAGACGAGCTCCTCGATAATGTCAACTTCTCTTCGAAACACAGTGGAAGTCTCATCGTAACACTCACTCACCCCTCGATCGACCTTCTGCCAGGTGATGCAGCCCACTCCCCACCTTTCGCTCCAGCTTTCGCTCCAGCCCTTCCGCGCCGAGCCACTGCTTCATGAGCCACTGCGGCAAAGCAACAGCCGGTGTATGGCCAACTAGAGAGTCTCAGAATCAAGGCATCGAGGGAAAGTTGGGTGGGATAACCGACCGGCCGACCGGCCGACAACACAAGATACTCGGCCCAACTGTACCACTTTGTCAGATTATGCTGCTGCCCAGCGCGTGCCCGGCGCAATCTTCTGGGCATCGGACGGTGCGTGCACACCGTGTGACCGTGTGGCTTTGTGCTCGGTTGATTTCCGGCGCCCCACAATGATGATGATTCAGCAATCTGCCGAGATCACTGGATGGTGGTGTTGCTCTACTGGCGACTTTCCGATATTCCGGAGAACTGTGCCATGGTAGACGTCGTGCTTGATCTCAGCTTGCAGCTTCTCGCGACATGCACTGCACATTGCTTCACTGTGTGCGGCTCCACTTCTGACTCGCACTGCTTCCCGCCGAGGCTGACTTTTTTTTTTACTGAGAAGTGTTCACTGGGCGACGATGGGAGCGGGAGAGTCGATGTCCAATCATGACAGATGGGAGAAGATAAGAGTTCAACGGAGTAGTCGACAGGAACGCCGTGTTGTTTTGCGGAGTTGCAACACCTCCGCCCTTCCCAACGACGAGATACCTCGTGACACTGTCTTTCCCGCCGTTCCTTACGCTCCGCTGCTGTGCGCTGGCTGTGCTGTGTTGTTCCTGGCTCTTACGTGCGCAGGACTCGGACAGTTGCTTCTGAGCATGTCCTTTAGGAGAAGAAGAGTGAAGACGGAGGATGGGCCGGAGATGGGACGGAGGGACGGAGGGACAAGGGCTATCTCGGCACAGTAAAGTTATTGCGGTGCCTTCTTGGGCCCACACCTAGTTCTCGAACTCACGAACTCAAAGGTACTCGAGCATTGTGGCTCGTTTGTCCCGTTTCGGGCAGGCTCGCTTGTCGATATGCGAAGACTCCACGCGAACAGTCCAGAGCCCAGGCCACAAACAAGCATACTCTGCACGTGAACCTCGCATGCACTGCTTCGTACCTAAAGTACCTGGCCCCAACCCTCGTATTCATCCCCTTCCACTCTTGCAATTCTGCAATCCGGAGAGAGAAGGAGTATCGCCAGACGACCAGCAAAAGAGCAGTCAAGAGGGAGCCACCCACGTTGTCAGGACGGAACGCGCCCATCCCGAGATTGTGTGGCGGTGTACGCCGCAAACTTTACTTGTCTCTCTTGCTCCTTGTCGCGTGCGGCGCGATGCGCCGGCGGCGCGTGTGGCGCGTACGTACATCCATTCCGGGAGACCAGTCTGGGGCACTGACGATACGGAGCTGCCCATTTGCTGCGCACTTCGTGGAGCTATGGAGCATCCAGCATACCGGTGCAAGTGGTGGGGTCCTTCCACTTCCTCGGGTAGAACCAAGGGTCGCGTGAGGGTCTGGACCGAGACCCTCGCTCGCTACAGTAAACACAACACTGGACCAAAACACCAAGCGGCATGTATGAGATACGGGTGTTCATCTGGCCGGATCATTCTACAGGAGAGGATTCGAGTTACAAAAGGTCTGAATTGAGAGAGAAAGTTCTATCCACAAACTGGTTGGGGGTCATTGTCCATGTCGCAATGTGCTACTACTACGCTACTGCTCGTTCTGTGGTGTGATGGAGATGCGGTTTGAACGCAGGTCCGATCGGGCTCCGCGGCTCGGGTGCCGGCGCGCACGGCGCTGCACGGCTGTGAGAGGGGCGGGGGCGGGGTGCTGGATGGCAGGGTGAAGGAGGTGCTGGTACGCCCCGCGGGCTACACTGCAAGCGGCTTTTGCTCCTTGCCCTTCTGCGTCTGGTAGGCCTTGTACTGGCTTTCGGACATGGGGCTGCCGTCCGGGTTTGTCGGTAACGGATGGGAGATTGCGCACTCCTGGCCCTGCTCGCTCTTGTGGTGTCGTGTGAGGGCGTCGAGGCGCGCAAACTTCTTCCCGCAGCCTTCGCACTCGAATGGCCGCACGCCGTCGTGCAGCAGCATGTGGCGCTTGCAGTCGTGCTGGCGTGCGAAACCAACGATGCTCTTCGGACATCCTTCGTATATGCACTTGTATGGTCGTTCGTCGTTGTGGCTTCGCAGATGACCCTTGAGGTTGAAGTGTCGTGTGAACGTCGACCCGCACCCTGGGATCGGGCACTTGAAGACGCCGCTGTTGGTTCGTCGGCTCTGCGAGGCGACCTCGGTGGCTTGGCTGGTGACCCGCATCTTGGCGACCTTTGGTTGGCCGTACATGTCGCCGGGGAAGTAGGCTCCTTCAGGCATCTCCATGTGAGAGTGGTGGGAGAAAGAACTTCCTTGCGACGAGATTGATAAAGCTGGCGAGGCGGAGCGGACAGAGGACGCAGAGCTGTGTCGGGAGTGAGACATGGACCTTCCTCGCATCGACGGAGGAAGCAATGTTCCATCGTCGGGATTCGTAATGCTCTGAAGGAAGTCGGCACTGCCACAGTCAGCATCATGATCAACAAAGCATGAGAAACGAGGCAGCTTTACACTCACGTTGAACCTCCCGCACCAACACCCCAACCAGTGCCCATAGCACTAAAGTCCTCGCTGCGTACCGCTCGGCGATGACCCATCGCAGAGCCGAAGGATCCACCCCTCAATCGGCCCTGAGGCACGACACCGCCAGGAACGCTGAACTCTACACCGTATCCTGGCGTTCCAGCTCCTGCCGCGGGATGGACGCCGTCGTTGAACGACCGGCGCCTGGGCGCAGACTGTCCCGCCTCCAAGAATCCTCGCTGCGGCTGCTGGTACATCTGCTGCTGGCCCATGGCCTGGGGGTTGAGGCCTAGCTCGCTGTAGAAGCGCATCGAATCGGGCGAGATCTGGCCCGGCTGCTGGGGCTGTTGCTGCTGAATGTTTGTGTTGATTTGCCCAAGCTGCTGCCTGCGGATGTCGTGGTCCTGCTGGAACTGCTGCATCGGCTGGCCGTAACCGTTTCCAGGCAGCTGGCGCGGGTCCATCGTGCTGTACTGGTCCTCACCGCCAGCCGTCTGCGTTCGCCAGGCGTTGATGTCCCGCCATTGGTCGTCCGCGACTGCGCTGCCACCAGACTGGTCTATGACGAAACCGTCCGGTCCAGCGATGCCGCTCGCCTGCACCTGTGCGATCGCCTGGCGCCCAAAAGCATCGCCTCCAGACGCATAGGACTCTGAGCGAGCTCGCGGGCGCATCTGGGGGTGCCCCGTTTCAAGGGACATGCCGTTGAGATCGACAGACTGAGACCAAGCTTGGGCGTTCGCGATGAAGGTCGCGGGGTCCTGGTTCGAAGTCTGGCTGCGCTGATCCTGTTGCAGGTTGTTCTGCTGCTCCTGCTTCCACTGGGCGTTCGCAGCATTCGCGCGGCGGAGGGCGTCGTCAAAGATCCCCTTCTGGTCTCGCAGGCCGCTGATCGGGGTACTGGGCTGAATGGTGATCATCGGGCCGTCCGCGTTCGGGGCGATCGGGGAGATTCCAGCCATGCCCGTCAAGTGCTCGAGGGCGGGGTTCGCTGGCGGCAAGAGGCTGTTGCCAAAGTTGCCAGCTCCCTGCTGCTGCTGCTGCTGGAGCTGATGCTGGTCCATGCTAGTTCCGACGAGCGAGTTCATAGATGGCGAGCTGGAACTGTTGGGAATGACGAGAGCAGGCGGAGACTGGGGTTTCGAGAAGGAAGGCGAGTTCTGGTCAGGCGAGATGACACTTGAGCGCTGGGTGCCGGGCGAAGGGGCGACAGCACCAGGTGTGCCCACGCTCGAGTTTCCTCCATAAGGGCTCGCGGCGTTGTACGGGCTCGGGGCCTGATACGGGCTCGGCGCATTGTAGGGGCTCGGTCCTCCGTACGGGCTCGGGGATCGCGTAATGTTGTTGGATGCCGTGTTCAGCTGCTGCTGGTTCGGCTCCATGAAGGGGGACGCCACGCGCGAGACATTTCCCGGCGTGCTGGGGCGAGAGTTGGGGTTAGAAATACTGCGATTAGTCAGTATGAAGCATCTAGCGCGTCACTCACATCTGGTGAAGCTCATCGAGCTGCTGCTGGCTGCCGTGCCAGCTGCCGGGACGGCTATTGTTCATGGGGTCCAGCATGTTATTGTGCTCGCCAGATCCCAGGTTCGGGTCAATCATCTGCTGCTGGTGCAGATGCGGCTGGAACTGCTGTCCTTGGAAGCCGCCGTTCGGCTGCGAGGCCGATGCGATGATTGTGCTGCTGCTCGTCGGGTCAAAGGGCACAGACTCCTTGCGGTCGATGCTGCCGCCTGTGTTGGGATGCAGTTGTCGGTGCTGCTGGTGCTGGTAGTCGCCGCCGCCACCCTGCCATCCGTCGTCTCCGGCCATTCCCTGGGGCTCCTCGGAAACGTACATGGTGCCGTACTGCTGGTCACCCTGCTGCTGAGTGTACGTCGGGTTGGTGGATGGGTAATCAAAAGAACCCGATGACTGTTGCGGCTGCTGTTGTCCGTAGAACGTGTCGAAGGAGGGCGGAGACGCCATGTTCGCGCTGAGGCCTGTGGCCCTTTGGGAGAGTCAGTTTCTGAGACGAACGTGTGGAAGAAGGGAAAGGAGAAGGGGGGATGGCGGATGAAAAGAGTCTGAAAGGAAGGAAGGGGCGACTCACTGGATGTTAGTTATTGTTAAATGAGGGAAGGCAAAGTCGGGAACGCCCTGTGCCGTGGATGCAGGCAGTTCCTTTGTTGGCGGGGGGGTGGTTAGTTCGGGATGCAGGAATGGATGGGGATCGGAATGAGAGCGATGGACGGATGGGTAAGTGGGGGGAGTGGACTCTCTCTGTGTGGTCGAGTGACGGTGGACGATCGGATCGTGAGTGTGACGGCGGGCAGACGGCCCGAGGGGGTGCGGCGGAAGCGAGGTGCGTCTGTCAAGGTACGCCGAGCGAGGTGGTGGTGACTGCGATGCAAGATGGGTAGGGAAGGTGAGTGTTGTGGACAATGACGCCGGGGGGGGGGGCGTAAGTGCGAGTGGGTTGGTGTAAATTGAGAGTTGACAGAGGAGGGCTGGAGGATGGTGAAGATGGTGAGGAGGGGGGGTGTGGGTGGGTGGATGGATGATTGTTGACAGGATAAGTAGTCAAGCCGGACTGTGGTTGTGGTTGCGGCGGGGGGCAGGGAGTGACGAGATGGTTGGGATGTAGTAGATATGAGTAAGGCGAGCGCTGCGCCGTTGTGCCGTTGTGCCAGGCGAGTAGAGTAAGGAGTAGAGTGAGTGGCCTGGCTGACTGGGCTGGCTGAGCGAGGCATGCAGGTCCCCGCCGCCTGAACGCCAGTCCCCTGAGGATACGCTCTCCTGCCTGGGCTGACAGCTCTGAAGCAGCAGTGCCTGGGCGCCTGGGCGGTCTGGCGAAGTGTACCCCGAGTAGGGCTTAGGCGCCATTAGTCTGCATGCTCTGCACTCGATGACCCAGCCTATCCCAAGCCTCGCTCGATAGATACCAGCTTGAGCCCAGAGGCTAGGGGGACCAAGGCACCCACCAGCAATTGCACACTCCGGCTCCTGCCTGCAGAAGCTCATCCCCTCACGGCATACACCCGGCGCAGACGGCAGACGGCGGCACTGGGCACACGCAGGACACAACGCAGGAACCGCGCAGGAACCGCAAGGGACATGTCAAGCTCTGCTTTTGCGCACTTGCTCAGTGCTCGACGCTGTGCCTGAAGGGTTTTCACACGTGACCCAGGCTCAGAGACGCTCGGAATATCCGTGCCTGGCCAATCTTGCAAGGGGTTCAACTGGGCACGCAAGGGGAAAAGGGCAATCATCAGTCTCATCTCTTGCTTGGGTGCAATTTGATTCCGCTTTACTCTTTCTGTGATCCCTCCCCTCCACCTTTCCGATAACCCACCCGCCTCCACCTTTACGATCAGCTAGACGAGTTCCGAAACCAAACCGGTGCAGCGACAAAAGCATCCCTACACCGCCCGCTCCAGCCAGCTAACTCAACATGAACTCTCCCAAGTCTGTCGCCTACGGCTGGGCCGTGAGTCACTAACCCCTCCCCAGTCACTGACTTCTAGGCCCTTATCGTGGCGACCGGCATCGGGTACTACTTTGCCAAGGGCGAGAACGAGAAGCGCTGGAAGGACCAGCGTGCCCGCGGCCTTCGCTCGCCGGAACACCAGGACTGTAAGTGGACTAGGTCATGGTTGGCTTTGCCCGCCTTGCCCGCTCCGAGATAGAGCTTTGGGCTTTAGGTCTGGGCGAGCTTGGTGTCCCGTCCCCTCCACCACGCAATACATCTACCGACCGACGAACCCTCGCTAACAATCACAAGGGAAGGACAAGCTCGCCGCCGCCGAGGAGGAGATGCGTGCCGAGATCCAGGCCAACGCAGCCAAGGCGAGGGCAGCAAAAGAAGAGCAGCAGCAAAGTACTCGAAGTGTATAGCGGGCAGACGTTTCTGTAGATCTCATTCCTTCCCTTCGCATGGCATAGCATCGTTTCACCACTACATCTCTCCAACTGTTTCGCCGTTATCAGCGGTGCTCAGTCTCCTGTTTCTCCTGGCGGGCTCCATTATCAGCCCGCGACTTCATGGCCGCTGCCCGTCCCATCGTGGTCATCGTGGATGTGCCGATGTGGCCGCTGGATCCGAAGTTCTGGGGACGGTGGCTTCTTGGGTTTCTGACGGGTTCCATGGCCCAGCGAGATGGAACCAGCGACACTAACGAGAGTACGCGCGCCACACAGTCCAACTGCGCCTGTTTCAGACAAGTGTTGCACAGCACTGACTACGGCCCGAAAGCCTAATGGCTTTACAGCTTCGAGGGTATAGGTATCAATTACATGTCGGCAGACGTTTGCTAACAAGTTACGAAACCCCCGTAATCTTCAGTACTATTCTTGATCGTCCGTGTTCTGCCTCTTCTTGTTCCGAGAGCGTTCGGAGGATGGGGAGGTATTGGGAGCTCCACAGCACCGCTCCGGCATTCGGATGTGTCAATGTTCTCCTGCCCGCTGGCCATGTGTGCCGATCACTTATCTGCATCGCACACAATGCGCGAATGAACCTTGTTGCTAGGACTGAATGGGCAAATGAGTGTGCGTGAGCGTATGTAAGTCCATGCACACGAGCGGAGTCAGTCTGATCTAGTCTCGTCCGTCATGTCAACTCCAGAATCTCGCCGGGAAGGAGCAAAGAGCGACGCGCAATGCCTCAGGCCACCGCCGAGGCTCCCTAGGCTCTCGAGGCAATTGACGACTGCCGCGCGACCTCAGACTGGCTGCAGGCGAGCTCTCAAGATGAGGCGGAACAGGTCAGGATTGAAAAGAATATTTAAGCCTTCGGAACACAGCACAGGATCGCCCATAGACCCTATATGCTGGCGCAGAGGAGCCGAGTAATCCGAGTATCGGAGCGCCGAAGGACGTCGAAGTATCAGAGCACTCGAGAGGACGGATAAGGGACTGAGGCAGAGTGAGGCCCATGAGGCGGTGCAAAATAGGATAATCACACTCGTGTTGATGAATCGCGAAAATCCTGACTTACGCACCGGTGCACAAGTTGACGCTATTGCTGTGCAGAGCTTGAGGCCCTGACGTCCATTCTCCCGAGGACATGCAGACCGTACCGACCGACGGAGAGCGACGTTTCAGCGTTTCATGTTCCGCCCTTCTTGGGTCCTGGCGAGATTAGCACGTTTCTCGTTCTGACAACTCGATCAGACATGCTTGTTCCTGGGAGCAGGAGGAGTGGGCGGGCCTGTCCTGGGACCTAGGGGGCCTGGACGGACCTGGCGAAAGACTCGCTGCTTGTTACTCATCCTTCCCAAGTTGGGCGATAGTCGCGTGGCAATGTCAAGATTCCGACGGATCCGCGGTGGAGGGGCTGATCTCCGCCGCAGCCTCCTCGTTGCTCCGAATTATCGACGACCTCCACTTTCCGCCACCTGCATTCTCCACAAAGTCGTCGACTGACCTTGACCTTCCTCCACCCTCCTCGACCACCTGGCCCCTCCTTTACTACGACTCTCAGCAGCTGAGGAAGAAGAAGAAGCCATGGCCCCCATTAAAGCGCCGAACCCCTTTCTCCTCCTTGGCGTTTTCACCGCCTCCATCGTCACATTCGCCATCGTCACTGAGCGCCGCGCGATGGATCCCCGGAACAAGCGCAAGGAGTCTGGACCCAAGACGCCACTGAACGCGGAAAAGATCGACATGCCGACGAAGCAGCGGGTGGTTGAGGGCATGAACTAGGCGGCCCACATCAAACGGGTTGAGCCAGTACGCGAGGCTAACCAGCTTGGGAGCTTGGTGCAGGAATCGCCAGCGAACGTCACTGGACGACCGACAAGCCCACGATAGCCAACCGGCTGCACTAAGCTTCGCGGGTAAGCGACGAGAGGAGGCGAGAGAGAGGGGGACAGAGACAGACAGTGAGTCCCCAAATCTGTGGCTCTCGCCCACAGCTGTCGCATCGATGCTGAAGCTGACCTTCCCCAGTCTGCGCAGCATCAACACATTGTACCTATGCATTCACATTATTCGCCGTCCACCTCGTCGCCGCCGCTGTCCCCCCATGTCTTCCAAGCTCACCCTCACTTCCGCCGGAACACGTCCCCCAAGCGCGATCATTACTTGATCAGGTGATCATGGAGGATTAGAGTTCGCAGTGTCAGCTAAACGCTGGGTGGAGCGCCCTTTGGTCTGGCCGACTGGATTGGGCAAGGTTGGCGCTAGCGGCAGCTGGACTTACGCATGTCGACTGGTGCCGTTTGCAGGAACAGCGTAAGGAATGTAGCGGCGGAAACGTAGATGAGCTGCGGAGAGGAACCAGCAAGTGGGGCTTGCAATCGCCGTAGACGCTGCTACAGGCACATACCATGAGCTTGATCAAAGTAGTGTCAGCTGAGGATGAAGTGAGCTTGGCGCTAGGTACGCTGCGCAGCAAGTGTCAGAGACGAAGAGCTAGAGGTTAGAGCAAGATGGACACCATGTCTCCTTCGCTTCTCGAACGTGAGGAAGAGGAGCGAGGGGTGGTAGCGAGCGGCTCGGCACTCCACTAGTGAGGAACCGCAGGAATGACCTCTCAAAGTCAGTTTCACACAAGCTCAGCCTAGCCACGGCTGGACCGAGAGGGAGTCGTATGTGCTCCGCCGGAGATTGCAGCCCGCGCTATCGCTGGAACTCCGAGCTGGCCACACACGCTGATAAGAAGACATCTCCGTCCACTGCTCGTCGTCTGTGATCGCGAGCAGGAACACGGGAGTTGCCGTGGAGCATCGCTGCACCGCAGAGACGTAATTAGGACGTAAGCAGATCCAGAGGCTTCTTTGCAGAGCGACGTGGTTGCTTTGAGCGTTTCAAGGTCGTTTAGCACACCTCCCTCGAGGTTCAAGGGGCCTGGGGAGATAAGAGATAGGCGTGCTGCCTACCGGCCTCGATAGGCGTCCCTCCACTTCGAACGCCTGCAACCTCATCCGGCCGGCACTTTTAGCGCGTCCCACTTCCGGGTCGGTTACCGATCTAGCCTGCACCCAGGGGCCCAGGGCAAACGATGGACGGTGACGACACCAGGTTTCGACCGATCCAAAGGACAACTTCGATCCGCTCCAGCATCCATCCGGACGACCAATCCATCTCATCTGACATTGACTTGATTCATCACCTTCAACTACACATACACAACCACTTCCACCAAAAACAAACACACATCCGCGGACGACTCCACAGCATTTTCCACGAGCAGCATCCACCATGTCCACGTCCTCTCAACGCCGGGACGTGAGGCGGCCGACACCCCGGCGCCGCACACTCAGCACGCAATCTCAGCCCAACTCTGACTTTGTCGACTTTCTGCATCGTCTCCTTGACATTCTCTTCACACCGTGTGTATCTGGCTGAAAGCGGGGGCGGAGGCTTCTGCGCTCAGAGCTTCTGTTTCGTCACGGCACAGAGCCGGACCATTGCCGGATAGGACTGAGCCAGGGCTAGAAGACGAAACAGGAGACAGGCAGCAGGGTTGCGCGGAGCTTGAAGTGACTTGACGAGCTGACAGCAGAATAACCTACCCACTACGCCTCATCCGAGATGTGATAACGTCGCCGCTCACGATCAGCGTCGTAGTGAAGACGGCGCTGCTGGCGTTACTGCTGCTCGCGAGCGCGGTGTTCAGCTTCCTCGCCGTCGGCGCCTTCTGGTGGAGCTGGGGCACGGGCGGCAGTGTCGAGACAGAGGGGTGGCTCGTGTACGGCTCGCGCACGCACCGCACGCCCCACGCCGTGCTCCCCATCAACCTCGACCGCTTCCAGGAGGACCTGCCGTACGACGTGCAAGTCGAGCTCGAGCTTGTCCGCCCGCACTCGGACGCTCCCGAGACCGGTATGCCCGCGCGCTGACCGCGCATGCGTCCCGCTGACAACAGCTGCTGACGATTCAGGTAACTTTATGGTGTCGATCGAGCTCCGCTCGGTGCGCAACCCAGAGCACATCGTCATCGCCGCCGCGCAGCCGGTAAGTTATTGCTTGTAGACGCTGAACTGACACCAGTCCCTTCCCCCACCCCCACTCTCGGCCGGCCTCGTCAGCCTCCCGCCGTATCCGGCCTCGCTACTGCCACCGTGCATCATCCCGTGGCCATTCCGCTTCCTCTGTCCCTCCCGCATCTTTGGCTACGTCAGCGTCCCGAATGCGAAGATCAAGGAGCGCCGGCGCAAGGGGTCCCTGATCCCGCCAGCGCGCGGAAACGAAGTCGTCCTCATGACGAAGGAGCTGCTTGGAGGCGTCGTCGTGCGTCCAGGTCGCGGTGACGGCGGTGTTGGTGCCGTCTTCGTCAGCATTGGTGAGTCCGAAAACCGCCTGCTCTAGCTGCCGAGACGACCTGCCAACATCAAGCTGACCCCAGGCCGCGAGGATACGCACGACAACGCCGGCTACCACCGCGAGGTGCGCACGACGGGCTGGGTCGTGGTGCGCTTCGTGCCGCACCCAACTGGCGTGCGCTGGCTGCTGACCTCCAACCCTCTGCCGCCCTTACTCATTCTGCCCCCGCTCAGTCTCGTGCTCACAATCTCGAGTGCACTGCTCGGCTTCCTCGTCATCTCCTGCTGCTCGCGGCGCGGGTACCAGCAGCGTGCGCGCGCGATTGCAGAGAAGGAGAAGCGCGACGAGGACAAGGACAAGAAGAAGATGCGCGGCGAGGTCGAGGGCAAGCTCGACTTTGAGGACCGCGCCGAGCCCTTCCGCGGCGGCGCGCAGTGGCAGAAGTTTGCGAGTGCCACGGCCTCTCGTCCGAGCCATCTCAGGAATCGCACAACGAGCCGCGGAAGCGTAGAGGTGAGTTTGGCAAGTTGGGCGCAGGCCCTGGTCGCGGTTGTGATGTGGAACGGCGGTGGAAACGACGAGCTAAGCCATTTCTGGTATGTGAGCTGACACCAGGTCGAGCTCCCCTCTCGCGGATCCGTGGACACGCCGACGAGCAGCACGGCCACGACGGGCCTGACGGAGAGCGCGCTGGGCAGCATGGCCAGCCTCGACTCGACAGCTACGAGCGAGACGGCGACGCAGACGGCCGCAAGCGCCACGAGCAGCGGAGCCGAGTGGGACTCGGAGTAGACGAGTAGACTTCCACTACAGGGCGCTAGACGCGCCAGAGATGTATTTGTTACAGCCATGGGCGAGCATTGGAATGGTGACTGTGACTGGCCCTTGCATACAAAATGTCCATGAGGGGGGTAGGTATCTCGATACAAGCTACAGATCCTCAGTACGCAACCCGCGCCCGCGGGGCGTGGTACGTCTCCCACTCCAACGACTGCTTTGGCGGCAGCCTCGCGCGGTCCAAGCGAGGATAAGTCCGGGGCGGCGCGAGGGGGACTTTCAGCAGCAGAGTGGTGTTGACAGCGACCTCCCACTGCACGCTGCCCACGCTCCGTCCCTCTCTCCCAGCCAGTGCACACACAATGCCCCGATTGGCCTCCAGTCTCGGGTCGCACTCCCCCATCAGCTCCCTCGGCACGGGCTTGCGGAGGTTGTAACTCTCGGGAGGTGGGGAAGAGTCATGCCACGGGCTCCAGGTGTGGTTCATAACGGTGCGGCAGAGCCGGCCGACTGACCGGATATCTGTCGGCGGTCTGGCTTCGGGCAAGGTGTCCATCGCCGCCTCCCATGCGTCAAACACGAGCTGGTCGGTCAGATACAGCCACTCGTTCCAGGAGGGGAGTGACGGCCACGTCCGCCCTTTGGACTCCTGCACGACTCGGGATCGGTAGTTTGTCAGACTGGGGTCAGCCCCGCCTTGTCCTCTGTCCTCTGATTGCCCACTGATACCCACCGGTCCAGCACGGAATCGAGGATCGCCCACGTGAACACGTCCGCTGACACTGCGCCTCGAGGGGAGCTCCGTCGCCATCGCTCCGAACCCACACGGGCTGCCCAGAGGACTGGCCCGATGCTGCCCGAGATGGGGAGCGAGGGGAGCTGCCCGCCCTCCGCTGGGCGGGGGAAGGCGAAGCTCCATGCCGGGAGGGGACGCAGGGGCGCGTCCCGCCGCAGCGCTGCTGGGGGAGGGTACGTCGGTGAGTCAGGCGGAGAGCTCGAGGAGAAGGAACCAGAGCGTGAGCTGACAGTCGAGGCGGCGCCGATGCTGCCCGTCGACAGCGACCGAGTGTGGGCGTTCATGGTCGTGAGAGGTGCGAGAGGTGCACAGAGAGGAGAACGAGCATCGTGTCCATGGGTCTCGTGGGTCAGGTTATGTAGAGGATGGTTGACCGAACCCAAGGCAGCTAAGGCAGGATAGTGCACAGTCGTGTGAACGCTAGGACACTAGCCCGTACGCGTCCCCACGTCTCCGCTGGTAGGACGCTCTGCGCTCCACACAAGCCCACATCTCACCATGACCCCCCTCACCGAGATCTGCGCATGCCTGTGGAGAGATCCTCAGCCTGCGCCAAGCGCCCAATGCCCGTGCCGGAGAGAAGCATGCGAATGCGCCATGGGCCACGATGCAATTGTGAGAAGGATGGCAGAACCGAAAAACGATTCAGATTCAGTCCATGACTCATAGCAGCAATGTGTGCCTGTCTGCCTCTGGCGCCTCGATTAATTGCGGCATACGCGCACGGCACGAGGCTTCCCACGACGCATGATCTCGGGCCATGCCGAGCTCCTTGACGTCTTGTGGAGGCCCACAGTCGTTACAGATAGAACTCTGCATAGGTATAAAGACGAAACAGGGGCCGGCGACTCGGACAGGGCTAGAGTTTGGATAGTGCTGTCTGGCTGGGCCCAGGGGGCCGAGCCGGAACTCTCGACGAACGCGGGGCACGATTTCGCTCGTCCGCATACAACACAGCCACATGACCCCGCAATGAGCTCGATGGCCTCCTGGGCTTCCGCCTTGTAAGACTGCTCGATCCTCGGCATGAGGCTGGGCATGAGGCGGAACTCGTTGGTTTGGATCGGCCTCGGCCGCCGAGTTATTAGCACTGGTGTAGTCTTCGTGCTCTATCTCGTGCGCGTCTCACATTGGCAGGAGTAACCCCGTGTGGTTCACTCATGGCAGCGACATCACGCCGATGCCACGATCTAACACGCTGCAGCCCTGTTCAAGGTCATGCCTTTTTTGCTCTTGTTTGGTGCGGGCCGGCAGGTGCCACAGCGGCGGATTGTGGAGAGTGGGTTGGCACAGTGGGCACCATGAAGCACAGACACCTGCCCCCGTGAACAAGTAGCGACTGCGCGCTTGACTGCAGCTCTCTTAGCTTTCCTGTGATAAGAGTAAAGCGATACATATAAAACCAAAACGTAATGTGTGTACAGGCGAGCGACACTCGCCGCGGGCGTCTACGCTGCGTCGCGTCCCATTCGGCCAACACCCGTCCCTCCTTCTCCAAACATGGACCAGTCGTCCACCTCGGCCCTCACCATGTAAGGGTAGTTATGTCTCCTGCCGCGGGGTGTAGTGGATCACAGCCCCACCCGCTCTTCTCCTACTCCGCCTGGTCCGTCTCCTGCTCTGCCGGGAAAGCCTTGCTTCGAGGTTATCACGCATCGCGCAGCCTCTCCCTAGCTGGTGGAGGAAGTGACAGACATGCGCTTGGCTTAGTCGTCAAGCTGGCGGCGGAAGTACGAGCTCGAGACAGCAAAGCCACACACGAAGGCAAAGATGTTCTCGCCAAAACCGAGGTAGGAGTCGAGCAGCGAGCGGAACGTCGTGTCCCTGATGCGGCCGGTGTAGATGCTGCTATCAGCTGAGAGGTTCTCGGACAGCTGATTCTGGAGTGCATGAAGACGTCACAAGGGGGTTGTTTGGCTCGCGTGATCGTGATCGGCGCCGATCGGCTGGCACTCAGTTGGTCACCAAACACAATGCTCGCGCGGTCGTTGCTGTCGACCATTCGTCTACCCTGGAGGATGGGTCCAGCAGACTGCTGGATACCTGCCAAGGTGGTAAGGTCGCATAAGGCATGGTACTGCGTGATCGTGTGGAAGCCGAGCCATAATCAATGGGCCGCGCGGCTGTCAGGGAGGGAGCAACACTCACGAGTATCCAGTCGCGCGCTTGACGCCGCCGAGGATGGTCGAGATGGCGATGAGGTTGATCGCGATCTGCGTCAGGCGGCCGAACATGATGCTATTTCTTTGCCTGTTGTTGTTGGCGAGGTGGACGGTGCAGAGCAGCAGACAACTGATAGCTGGCGCGAACGACGCTCAACCGGCTCGGCAGAGTCACGAATTTGCCGCCGGCCCGGTTGTTCACAAATCCCGGGCAGGGGGAGGGATTCGAACCACTGCCCGAGATTGCGACTTTCCGCGGCCCTCCAATCATACAAGTTGTTGAGGACCGGCAGAGTTGGAGGAAGGATAGAGACAGTGCAGCGCTGACGCACGAGCGGCATAGGAGTGAATATGTACATGCATTCATGGTGGTTATACAACAGAGGCGGAGGTTACTTCTGCGCCTGGGACTGGGCTTGGGAGGATCCGGAGGATGAAGGCTGCGAAGGCGGCGCGATGATGTCGCCGATTTCTGTCCTGTCAGCTTGGGCCCAATCCTCCAGCTCACCTCGATTCCAGCGCTGGACGATCTCGCTTTCGTACAGACCGTCTTTGGGGCGGCGGGCCTTCTTGGACTGCGCGTGTCAGCTGTTCCGCACATGGAGAAGCTGTCGCCGTCCCTCCCGTAGTTTCAACCCGTTCGAAGGAGCAAGGTGCTGGGTCGCAGAGACTAAATAGACCGAATAACAGTGCATAAGCGGCAGTCACTCACAGTACTCGTGCTCGGTCCCGCCTCGCCCTCAACGAGTGGCGGCGTAGCCTGCCCCGTCTCGATGGGCTCAGCCTCGTCGAGCTCCGTGTCGCTAGCGCCGGGCTCGCCCTCGTCCGAGCCGGAGGAGTAGTGCCGCTCGTGCTCGTCGCGCTCGTCGATGTCCATCTCGCGCTTAGGCGTGTTTGCGCTACTCGACGGCGGCGTTAAGTCGACCATTGTTGTTGGTGGTTGATGGGTTGAGCGAAGGTGAGTGTGCGGATGCAATGTCGGCTGGATGGTGACGACACGCGGTGGAGGTTTGATCAGTTTCAGATGTTGACGCTTGTCTTCCTTCCGTTCACCCATCAGTCGTGAGTCACCCTCCTCATTCGCTGCTCTCAGCCGCTTGAGGCTCGTACACTCAGAATACTCAAGTTAGCTGCGGACTCTCGTAACTCACCAGCAGTATTCCGTACGCAACTCCTTGTGTTTGTACCATCAAGCTGACGACAGTCCCATATCATGGCAGATCTCCCACCGCAGATCAGGACGTACCACACCTCGCTTCTGCCGCCCTTCCCCGGCGCGCCGGGGTTTGCATTCCACCTGACGCGGCTGAAGGACACGCTCATGATCTGGGTTGGCGGGCAGACGCTCGATGAAGACGAGGCGCGCACGCGACTGGCGGCCGAGTGGGCGGTCGCTATGCCAGGACGCGGGGTGAGCTGATAGGCCCAGGTCAGCAGCTGACGAGCAGAGCCTACCGACGACGGCGACGCACGTCTTCCGTTCTGGTGCCAACGATGTCGCGCTCTCTATGGCGGAGCGGTTGGGTGAGTACTCGCCACAATGCCTCCCAGCTGCCACCTGCTTGCTACCTCGCCCACGGAGGCTGCTTCGAGATGTACTGTCAGCGCCAGGTATGGAGTTCAATCCCACGCCGTCCTCCTAGTGTAGAACGCTGCTCTCTCACGCTCCCTCGATGTCTACGACTGCAAGCTGACGGACAGCGAAGCGCTTCAACCCTAACCAGGTTCACCTGTCGATGTCGCTGCCGGCGTCGCTCACGACGACGAGCAAGCAGACGATGGACCCGTACGCGTCCAAAGCCGTGCTCGTCATGGAGAAGAAGCTCGGAGCGTGGATCGACGACATTCTTGAGATGGAGAAGCAGGCGTAATGCGTCAGTAGAGCAGACTAGAGTTTACAATGCACTTGTATCATAGAGCGTGGATAGCGGAGACGGTCGGACCCTGCCTGCCGGCTCTCCAGACACTGCACACACTCCCTTCTCTTCACTACATCATTATCCATCTGCACTCTGCCGACCTGCGAACCGATCTCCTCGCTGCCGTGTGGCAGTCTCATTTAATCTGCACCTTCACGCTCAGTAAACTCTACCCCGCAAAGACTGCAACTCAACCGCATTATCGTCAGTAATACATAGCACTGCAAGCTAAAAGCATGCGTGAAGGAATCCATCGCAAAACCGTAACTACGCGAAGATACCTCGAGCGTCCGGACAGGGCACTTAAGCCTGCTCGGTCTGCTGCTCGGCGGCGGCGGGGGCCTGGACCTGAGCAGGGGGGACGTCCTTGTGGACGGAGTGGATGGTGATCTCGGTCTCGGGCTTGGGCTCGATGAGGGTGACCTGGTCGGGGAGGGGGTGGGCGGGGCCCATGCGTCCCTCGGGGTCGTGGGGGCGCATGATCTTGACCTTAATACCAAGGACACCCTGACGGAGGAGGACGTGGCGGACGGCGTAGTCGATGAAGTCGACCGAGGGCTGACCGGAGTGGATGAGGAAGCCGTCGGAGAACTTCATGGACTTGGCACGGGCAGCACGGAGCTTGCCAGAGACAACGACCTCGCAGCCCTTGGCGCCAGACTCCATAACGTAACGGAGGACACCGTAGCAAGCACGGCGCATGGCAAGGCCACCGAGGAGCTTGTAGCGGAGGGACTCGGCCTGGGCGACGGCGGAAAGACCACGGTACTGGACCTTCTCGGCGTAGAGCTCAAGCGAGTTCTCGGGGAAGCGGAAACGCTTCTCAACGAGAGCCTTGAGCTCACGGATGCGGCGGCCCTGGTGACCAAGGACCTCCTGGGTGTGGGTGGCACGGATGATGATCTCGGTGCGGGCGTGGGTGACACGGACCTCACATCCGGAGTAGCCCTCCTCGGCGAGCTCGCGAGTGCTGCAGAGTCAGCGTTCGCCCTTATCCGTCGTCCTCGTTCCCATCTCTCGAACAACCAAAATCGACAACTTGATTCTCCGCGCGCGCACGAATTTTCGATTTCAAGTCGTCCTTGTTCGCCGTCGTTGGGCCGGTCGTCACGTTGACACTTACAAGAACTCGCCAAGCTCAGCCTGGAAAACACCGTCGGCGACGAACTTCCTCTTCTTGGAGACCTGGTGGGCGACCGACATGGTGAGTTTTTTTGATGGATAGAGAAGTGAGTGCGTGCAACTTCGAGGTCACAAGGACGCCCAGCGAGGCCCAGCCAGTGTGAAAGTCCAGTCGCCACATTGAGACAAGGGCTCGCGGAGTCTCGGAGTTTCGAGAATTTGTGGTGGCATCTTATCTATGCCTCCCCCTTAAAGATCGCAATCTCGGACCCGTGCCTAGATGTCACCACCGCTCCACCTAATCGTGAATGCTTGGGCTCCTTGTCAACAATGTCGAGGTGCTGGTCGTCGGACCCGGTTCAAGTCACCATCGAGTCGACCGACTTGACCCCATACTCCAGAAGATGACTCGTTGAATGCTCCACAATCTGCCACGCTAGAGGTATCGTAGTTGCAGGGCTTCGGCCGCTGCTGCGCTCGGAGATGAATGGTTGCCTTCACCTCGTTGCACTTTCCAGCTGGGAAAGGGGGTCCTCCGTGATCAGTTGCGAGCCCAGTGGCACCTGTTCCATCATTTAGCGAATTTTCGACATCCTTTTCGTGCTCGCTCGTTACAGCAGGTCAGCACTCGACGCATGCATGTCGTGGCCGTGACTGAGCAGAGGGAACCTCCACCTTAACGCCCTCTGCCTGTCTGCTAAGTGAAGGGCTCGAATAAATTGCTCGGGCGAGCGATCAAGCTCGGCAAGGATAGTCCGACTCCTACGCTCGACATTTCGAGACATCTTTCCTCCATCGATACCCGACCTCACTCGCATACACCATGTCTACTCTCGCCTACGGACTCGGCCTTCTCGGAGCCGGCTTTGCTGGCCGCGTCGCCTACCAGATGATGAGGGGAGCCAAGGGAGCCGACAAGTTCCTCAAGGGCGGTTTCAAGCCGAAGATGGACAAGGCCGAGGCTATCCAGATTCTTGGTCTTCGGTGAGTATTACAATCGTGGAAACGGCTCCGATAGGAGAGGGGGCTGTGTTCGCTGTTCTAAGGTTGGGAGAGGTACTGGCAGGGTACAGGGAGTTGGCTGAACAGGGACTCGAGTTTGGGTGGCAAGGTTCTGTCCAGACTTGTCTTCCGTTCTTCCCCATGTCGCCAACAGCAAGGCGTGCTGGCAGTTTCCACCGTCAGCCAACCTCTTGCTGCGCCATATGATGTCTCTCCCTCGCGATCCCCGCTCCCACCTCCTTTTCTGCCTCTCGATCCGTCGCTAACTCCTCAGCGAGCCGCTCACGGCGAACAAGCTCAAGGATGCGCATCGACGCCTCATGCTTGCGAACCACCCCGATCGCGGGGGATCTCCGTTTTTGGCGGGCAAAGTTAACGAGGCTAAAGCCCTTCTTGAGTGAGTAAAACGCGAGAAAATTGAGTAGAAATCTCGTGGGGAATGTGGCAGGTGTTGTGGCAGGTCGGTGGCAAATGTGTCTGTTGAGCTCGATTGCTGCCTTATTTTGGCCCTGCCACTCTGCGCGCCCCGCTGCCCCGCCTCTGTCGGTCATCCTGAACCGGCCAAAGTGCAAAAACAAGCTTGAGAAGACCAAACTCGCTCATATATCTCGCTCGCAACGCCCCCGTCGCATGAACCTCACTAACTCCCTCAGCAAGCAGGTTTCGCGCCGATAAATCAATTGTAGCACTGTATCAACACCATATGCATCTCACCACTTGCTGAACTGATCTGCACAGGACAGCGCGACGCCGACGATTGCTTGAAAAGATCAGAAGAAGGGCTACCGTGAGCCCCGCAGCGAGTGCCACGAGCCACACTCGGACGGCACCAAACGCTGATCGGTTGACGCGACTGTCTCACATTCTACTACCTCTGACTCCAATTGTTGCTCACACACCCTCCCTCAGCTCTGACTTCCCTTCGAGTCTATCCGAAACTGGGCCTTCGCGTACGACAGCCCGCGGCAATCATGCCAACCAAGGCGGCCACTCCGAAACTTCCAGCCGAGTTGCTCCTGTCGGTCTTCAGTCACTTGCGCCGCCATGATCTCGCCCAGGTCTGCAAGGCGAACTCGTACCTCCGCTCTCTCGCCAGACCTCTGTTCTACCACTTCGGCACCCTCACCAAGTTCGGTCTCCACTTCCCAGGCGCGCCGAGCCCATACCCTTTCCTCGACTTGCCGGAGCTCGGCCACGCCAGTTTCTCCAGTGACGCTCTTGAACGCCTCAGTGCCGACCTCAGAGCAATTGACTTGCCCGCCCATTTGCCCTCGGATTGCGCTGCCTACCGAAATTTGAAGATGGAAGATCTTCCTTGCCACCCGGAGGTCCTCCGCATCCAATGTGCAGTCCGAGTTCTCGAAGACCATGATGAGGAGGCTCCCGGTGGCGACTTCCCTCACATCGAGCCGTTTCCGTCGGAGAGACGATGCGAACATGCCGTGGATGGCTCTTGCGATTGTGTTCACGATTGCAGCTATCGGCGCTGTGAGTACTATTGTTTCTTCCGAAGTTTCCTCGTGTTCAACAAGACCTTCGACAAAGTGGTGCTCAGAGATGGTCCGATGGCAATGTTCTACTATGATGACCGCCGGCTCCCAGAAGTGCGGCCTAGGAAAGAATTCGTGGCCGTGCTCGACTCTCATGATATCACGAAGACTGGCGACCACGTCCACGGCTGCGACATCATAACTTGGGGGCTGAGGCCATTCTGGGGTTCGCAGGTAGTGACTGTTGTGCTGTGGACAGGCTCCCCCGAAAGAGGTTGGATCCCTCCTTGCATCAAGGGCTCTCATGAGAGATGGATGTCCCCGACCGCTGCGGGCAACGATGAAGGCTTTCAACGCGAATGTCAAGGCATGGAGTTCTTCTGGGCTGACATGGGGGAGCAGATCGGCTTCCTCAAAGCAAGTGGACCGGCCTGTACAACCGTGCGTATCGTCAATGCACTCTCGATCATCGAGTGCCATGTGAGCTACGACACCGGAGAGTATCGCAAACGGCGGATTCGCAGCACTGGAAGCATCGAGTCCGCGTTCAGAGAAGGCGCCAGAGACGCCCTTAGGGGTGAAGACTGGGAAGGAGATGTGCAATTCTGGACAATGGAGGAATGGGTAGCTCTCGGCGAGTGGGAAGATGTCTTTACCCGCAAAGAGATTGAGCCGTTCCTCAGACGGTAACAGGCGCTGCCACACCCCTGAAACCTCCATGTGGAGACGCCATCTTATAGTCTCGATACATGTATTGTGACATTGGCGCATTGTTGAACACGAGAGTATCTGACCTAGAGTGAGGTTGCACGAGACGATCGGCGGAAAGCGGTCACACGCCTACACACACACGTAGGCGCGGCGCCCTTCCAGGTGACGCGACCACCGAGACCCTCGCACTTCCACAACCCTCTGACTTTCACTTTCACCTTCATCACTCCGCTCTCCTCAACCCCTAACGTGGGCACGCGGCCGTTCAATCATGCCCACCGCCTCAGCATCTCCGCTTCTACCCGTCGAGCTGCTCTTATCCATCTTCAGCCACCTACGGCCGCACGATCTTGCCCAAGTCTGTAAGGCGAACTCGCACCTTCGCGCTGTCGCCCGACCGCTCTTATACCACTTCGGCACGTTCACCAAGTTTGGCTTGCACTTTCCCGGCGCATCCAACCCTTACCCGTCTCTCGATGTTCCGGAGATTGGCGTAACCGCCCTCAACGATTCCTCCCGGGCCCATCTCTTCTCCCAGATCCAGGAGCTCACCATCCTCACACACACTCCATCAGAGTGCACCGTCTTCCGGAATCTGGAGGAGAAGCACAACCCCAGCGCAGTCAAGGTCTTGCGCGTCGAGTGCGCACTTCGCATCATGGGCTATGCAGACTGGGATCCTGAGGGAGGAGATTTTACTCACACCAAGCCTTGGCCCGCTGCCATAGAAGAAAACTACTGGAGCGGCTGCTTCCACTGCGAGTATCCCTGTCACTACCTCCATCCTTTGCTTTCCTCGCTCCGTGCCGAGAAGGTTGTCTTCCGAGACCCGCCTATCGGAACTGGTGACAACGAAATGACCTGCATGGATGAATATAATCCTGTGAGGGAGTTCGTAGCCGTACTGCACTCAGAGCCCATTGCCATGGGTGGAGGATGCCATGTGTTCTGTGGCTCCGTCAGATGGGGCGTTCGTCCGTTCTGGTGTGCACCCTTAGTCACAGTCATCTTGTGGACTGGCTCCTCAGATGCCGAATGGCTCCCTGCATGTCTCAACGCTGGGCACATGACGGATGCAGAGTGCGACACAGACGACTCGGACCTGGACTACCTTTCACCGCCTCGATACTGTGACGCGTTGGAGTCACTGTGGATTGACACCGGAGAGCAAGTAGCTCTTGGTGGCCATTGTACAAGACTGCGCATCGTAAACGCCGCTGCAAGCTGGAAGTCCTCAAGATGGACCGAAGACTTGGCTCAGAGCGTCCGCCGAGTCTCCAGCTTCTCAAAGGTCAAGAAGCTCGTCCAGCGCGGTTGTGAGTCCGCTCTCCGTGGGACGAAAGAGAAGTGGACTGGTGAAGTGCAGTTTCTCTCAATGGAGGAATGGATTGCACTTGGCGAGTGGGAGGATGTCTTCTCCCGGAAGGAAATGGCGCCTTTCCTCGCAAAGGAATAGGTATCCCCACTCCACTTATCTAGGCCTGAGCCTTACATGTACCATGCACTATGAGGTGTAGCTTCACCGGACACGATGTATGATGTTTCCCTAAGCTCGACTCCCACCAGGGCCGGAGATGCCCCATGGCGCCGGTCACGCGGGGGCCACACTACAGTACCCAATGCTGCGTTGCCACCGACGTGTCTGTGCGCTCCGATTGAGGTCCCTGTGATCGCAAACACGGTGGTCGGATTCTGTTCTTGATATTGTACACTCACCATCCTTTATCTCTTGCTCTTCTTTCTCTTCTCTCTCATTCAACCTCTCACACACCTCCGACTCGTCGACCATCCTCTGACAGCCGACCATGTCAGAGGCAACGACCGCCCCTAATATTCCAGCCGAGCTGCTTCTCGCAGTGTTCGACTACCTACGCCCACATGATCTCGCCCAAGTCTGCAAATCCAACTCGTATCTCCGTAAATTGGCCCGTCCGCTCTTCTATCGCTACGCCACTTTGACGAAGTTCGGATGGACTTTCCCCGGCGCCCGTCACCCACATCCCTTCCTCGAAGTTCCCGGAAGCCTCAAAAGACTATCTGACAAGGAACTTCGCCATATAGCGTCGAATCTCAGAGAAGTCTACATCCCCGCCCACTCCGCGTCCGACTGTGCGATGTTTAAAAATTTGCGACCCAAGGAGGTGAAACTGCGGGCCATTACTTTGCGAGTCGAAAGTGGTGTCCGCATTCTGAAGAACTTATCTAGTGTCGACTGTCGAGATGCGTTTCCCCACATCGACACTTGCCCGGCTCCTGCAGAAAACGAGCATGGCCTTTTGCAACCCTGCAAATGTTTTCGCGCATATTCACTTCATGACGACAACGACGATCTTTGCCATTTCCTTCGCGCTATCGCCACAATGAAGCCTGAGAAGGCTGTGATTCGCGACGCTATCATGACTGAGAACACTTTCGTGAGCCCCGTGCTCCGCCCCGTCAAGCCCTCAAACGAGTTTATCACTGTTCTCGACTCCCGCGACATCTGGAAGGATACCAATTGCGGGTTGAAATGTCCTCAGCTAGATGCTGCACTCATTCCCTTCTGGGCCACCACACTGATCACTATCGTGCTATGGACCGGCCATCCAAATGTTCCCTGGGTGTCCCCTTGCTCCCCCGATGATCATACGTGCGAACCGAAAGTAGCACGCGTGACAGAGAGTTTTGGCGTTGACGGGCTCCGCCCACAATGCTTCTTCATGGCTGACTTGTGGGCAGACGTCGGCGATCAAGTCAGCCTGAGGTACCCCTTCAAATGCCGGAAGCTGCGCATTGTCAACGCCCCTGCCATCGTCGAGACCTATGTGGACGCAAGTGGCAATCGCATTGAGAAGCGCCGAGCCAGCATCGCTTCGATTGAAAACACCATAAGAACTCACGCAGTCAATGACGTTGAGCTGGAAAAACATGTGTGGAAGGGAGGGATTGAATTCTTGACAATGGAAGGATGGATCGCGCTCGGCGAGTGGGAGGACGTCTTCACGTACAAGGAGATGGCTCCATTCCTCACCGACAACGCCTTCCTTGGCTCTAATGCGTGAGAGAACTATGATGTTGTGCTGTTGTAGCTTAGTCAACTTGTATTGCTATGCATCCAGATGTCACAAACACTTCTGACAGACAGAGCGAGTATTGCTAGGCGTTCAGGACGGCCCTGGGGATACCTCATGCTGTGTGCCTGTGTGCGCCCTTTGCCAGCTGGCGGCGGCACCAAAAGCAGCCTGACGCGACTTGGTCGACTCATCCCCCTTGAAACTCACTCTCTCCTCGAGCATACTCACTCTCTCCTCAAGCATCTTCCTCCAGAACAATCAGCACCTTCAGTCACCGGCTATGCCAGAAACGTCGGTCATCCCGACCACTCCCAGGCTCCCAGCGGAGCTGTTGCTCTCAATCTTCAATTACCTTCGTCGACATGATCTCGCCCAGGTTAGCAAAGCAAACTCGTACCTGCGCAACCTAGCTCGCCCTTTCTTCTACCGGTTTGCCACCCTGTCGAAGTTTGGTCTGTTCTTTCCCGGCGCCCGCCGTCCATACCCCTTCCTCGAAACGCCAGGATCCGGGCCCAAGCCGTGCTCTCGCAAGCGACTGAAGCAGATAGCTTCTGAAGTTCGGGAGATCGACATTCCACCTCACCCCGCTTCAGACTGCGCAATTTTCTGCAACATGAGGATGGAAGAGCTTCCTTGTGAGGCCAAAGTCCTGCGTCTCGGATGCGCCGTTCGTGTGGTGAACGAAGACGACTCACCGCCTCCGAAGCTGGTCTTCACCCACACTGAGGAGCATGCAGCGACTTCTGAGCACAATGGGAATGACTATCGATGTCGCTGCTGCTTGGATGACCCTTGTTCGGCATGTAGACAACAAACCTGCTTCTTCTATTCACTTGCATCCAGCATGCCCCTAGAGAAGGTGGTCATACTTGACACAGCCATGGGAGTAGACGACACCTTTGATGAGGAGCAACACCTTGATTTGTACCCGTCCGAGGAGTTCGTCACTGTGCTCTACTCTCATGACATCACGGAGAACTCTGATTGCGTGTACAACTGCAAGTATGTGCGCCCAGCCCTGCGGCCGTACTGGGGCACGAAGCAATCGACGGTCATCCTATGGACCGGGGCCCCAGGCCGTGCTTGGAAGCCGCCCTGTGATGTCCACCAGCCCTCTTCGGATACTCCTCTGCACTCTCTGGCCCTTGCACAGACGGAGACAGATGGCAACAAGCTGCTGCCCGAGTGTCATGCCATGAATACTCTGTGGCGTGATCTCGGAGATCAGCTTGGGACTCTGATGGCTAGAGAAGACTCTCCCAAACTGCGCATCGTCAACGCCACTGCCATTGTGGAAAAGTACATCGACCCGGCCGACCGCGCAAAGCACGAAAACCGCAGAGCCAATATCACAGAGATTGAGGCCAGCATTAAGCGCGGCTTCAAGACTTATCGTCACAAGCGGGGAGGGGTCTTGAAGGAGCAGGTAGAGTTTCTCACTATGGAGGAGTGGATCGCTCTGGGCGAGTGGGAGGATGTCTTCACCCGCAACGAGATGGAGCCGTTCCTGACGGCTGGCCCTTCGTCTGCCCCTGCCTAAAGACCATTTATTACCCCACACCAACCCTCGTTCGTGTATCAATCCGATGAGCCATGCCATGTACTGTGAATGTATCTCTCTCACCAAGCTCTCCTTGAAATAATATCTGGAATATTTTCTCCCAGTGCCACACTCACCACCAGCCACAGACTAGTCAACCACACTCATCTCGCGTCTCACGCTAAGCCAGTCTGTCGGACTTCTACAGATTCAACATCATCTCCATCAACAATGCGCGGAACAGTGACGACCTCGAAGACCTCCCCGCTGCCCGCCGAGCTACTCCTCTCCATCTTCGGCCACCTGCGGCGACACGACCTCGCCTAAATCGCCCAAGCCAGTAGACACTTCCGCCACCTCTCCCAGCCACTGCTGAACAAATTCGGAACCATTCATGAACTTCGGCCTCTACTTACCCGGCACATCGATGCTCCCGACGTCAGTATGTCCGCCTTCAGGAGCGATGAGCTCGACGCGCTCCTCTCCAAGCTGGAGGAGATCCGGGTCCGGTCCCCACCCTCCCTCGGCCTGTGCCGTGCATCACAGTCTGGGCGCGAGCCGTACCTCCGTGCATCGCCAGATACGTTGCATACTCCATAGTCCAATGCATGGCTACAAAGCCCGTCTGCCCGTCTACAGCTCCTGCGCCGCGAGCTGGCGCCTCAGTCCCGCGAGTCCCTCAATGACGATCCTCCTGAGCGACTTGGCCGCGTTCTCATTCTGGTCCAGCCACGCCTGGGCCGCCTTCTCGACCGCGTTGCTGCCCAGCTTGCCCTCCTCAATGCTCGAGCCGGGGAAGACGCCGCGCGCCAGCCGCGTCGCCATCGTCATCGTCATCTCCTTCCACCACTTGGTCAGGTTCGCAAAGTACGGCGCAACAAACTCCTTCCTGTCGCTTGAGGGGCCCTGCGCAAAGCCGGCAATGAGCGCCCCCTGCCTGTCGTTCGTGAGCGACTCGGTCGTGAGCTCGTCCCACACCCGGCGCTTGACCTCGACGCCCGGGAAGGACGCCTCGGCGCGCGCGAGAGCGGTCGCGCCAGTCATGGTGCTGTCGCGCTTGTACTCGGCGTCGAGCTCAGACTTGTCCGTCTTGCCGAGCGCGGCGAGCGAGGCGAGCGCGCGCCAGCGCAGCGTCGGCGTCAGCTCCAGGCCTGACACCTTGCCGGCCAGCAGGTCGCGGAGGGGAGACTCGCCGGAGGGCGAGTCGGCAGCCTCCCGCACGAGTGCGTTCGCCCACTGGCGCTGCTGGTCGCTGCCGGGCTCGGCTGCCGCGAGACCCTTGGAGAGGGTCTTGATGAGGTTCGCGGCCGCATCAGGGCGCGCCTTGGGCGGCAGGAAGAAGCTGGTCGCCTCACCCGCCAGCCCGAGGACGAGAGCGAGAATGCCCGAGTCGGCCTCGGCGAGGATGTTGTTCTGCACGGCCTCGAGGAAGCGAGCGGCGGGGAGCTTGGCGTCGCGGACCATGTTCCAGAGCGCCGACCAGGCCACGGCACGCGTGAGCGTGGGCTCAAGCGAGGAGATGTTCTCCGTCAGGACGTCGACCGACTTGGGGTCGAAGCGAAGAAGCGCGTAAGTCAGGTCCTCATCGTTGGCGATCGCGAGGTCAACGGCGGTTCCCTCAGGAAGGGGCACCTCGACGCGGGGTTTGTCGAGAAGGACGGAGACGCTGGCGGTGCGCTTCACGCCGTTGTCGCCGCGCGCAAAGGTTGAGACGGTCACGCGGTGGTTGCGCTGAACGGGCTTGCCCGTCATGGCATCCACCGACTCGGTCGTTACAAACAGCTTGTCACCATCCCGCTCAGTCGTGATGATGGACGGGCCAGAAGTTTCGAGCCACGACGGCACCCAGGTCGAGAGGTCGGCATCAGAGCTGTCCTTCAGACACGAGACAAAGTCGTCAAGTGTCGTCGAGCTGAAGGCATGCTTGTTGAAGTACGCCTTGGAGGCGTCGAGGAAGGCGTCGCGTCCGGCGTACGCCATGAGCTGCTTCAGCACCGAAGCACCCTTGGCATAGCTGATGCCGTCGAAAACCTGGCGGGCGGTCTCGAGGTCGGGAACGTCGGCCGCGATGGGGTGGGTCGAAGGACGGGTGTCGGCAACGTAAGCCCACTGCTTCCGGCCGAGGGCAAAGGATATCCACGATCCGTTGTAGCCTGCCTGCTCCGTAGACACGAGGTAGCCCATGAGGTCCGCGAAGCTGCACGTCAGTTGTGGCGACGTCTAGTCAACTCACCTCTCCTTCAGCCAGGTGTCGTTCCACCAACGAGGAGTCGAAAGATCGCCGAACCACATATGGGTCATCTCGTGGAGGATGACGTTGGCAAGGTTCTCGCGCTGCATCGTCGTCGGGGTGCCGCGGAAGATGTAAGCGTTCTCGGAGAAGGTGACGAGTCCGGGGTGCTCCATTGCTCCAATGTTGTACTCTGGAAGGAAGATCGAGTCGTACTTGCCCCAAGGGTAGGTGTAGCCGAAGGCATCGTTGAAGAACGTGAGGCCCGCCTTGGTGACCCGGAAAACCTCCTTGGGGTCGAGGTACTGCTTCATCGACTCGCGGCAAATGGCGGCGAGAGGGATCTTGAGGTCGCCCTCCTTGAATTCGTCCCGGACAACATAGTAAGGGCCGACAGCAATGGAGGTGAGATAAGTCGAAAGCGGAGGCGTGGGGTTGAAGGTAACGGTGTGAGTGTCGTTATCTCCCGGCTTGTCGCTGACGGCGTCCTGGTTGCTGAAGACACCGGATGCTTTCGGCGCCGTGATAACGAAGGTGATGCGAGCCTTGAGGTCGGGCTGCTCAAAGCAGGCGTACATTCGGCGAGCATCTGTTGGCTCAAAGTGGGTGTAAGCGTACGTCTTGCCATCAGCAGTGTCGGTGAAGCGGTGAAGACCTTCTCCGGTACGACTATACTTGCACTGAGCGACGACGGTCACGGTGTTGTGCTTTCCGACCTCGAGGCCTGTGATGGGCACACGCGCACCGTTGTACGCCTTGGCATCGTCCGGGTGGTCCTTTCCGTTGACAGTAACAGAGGTGACGCTGTCAGCGACGAGGTCGAGCCAGGTCTTGTCCTCCGATGGGGTGAACTCAACAGTCGAGGAAGACGCGAAGGTCGTGGTTTTCGGGTCGTCGATGGCGTGGAGATCGAGCTCGATGCGGTATGTATCGAGGTCGATGACCTTGCTGCGGTGAGCGCACTCGTCGCGAGTGAGGTTGAGGAGCGAGTTGTCCATGGTGGGTGTGGTGAGGAAGGAAAAGAGCAAGGTCAGCCAGGTTTATTTACGTGGAGGGTGCGATTGCTCCGCGTGATGTCACCGCACTAGAGGGACGGCTAGATCCGAAGTCAGCGCCGAGAGTGCTGTTTACGGCTTTTCGGTCCGGACATGCGGCGAGTCTGCCGGGATACACGGCGATGTCCCCTAGCCCTATGCATATCCAATCAGTGGAAATCGGGTCACATCATGCATAAGCGGTGGTTTACAGTGTCCTTAGTCTACAGTGGGGTGTCTGTGGCATGGCGGGACACTACTTCCAGGCGATGGGCTTGCCAGTCGCGTCGGTAGCGAGATCGATCTCGACGCCAGCGGTAAAGTCCTTGGCTGAGAAGCAGAGTCCGTTTGGCCCGAGGACGGAGGTGTCGCCCTCCTTCTTGGGCGACATGCAGATTCTGTCTCCGTCCTTGACCCACATGGGGCGCCATGAGTTGAGGCTGGGACAGCCCTCGCCGAAGTCGCAAGGACCCAGAACAGGCGGACCGAAGGAGTAGCCGTGGCCTGCTGTTAGTTGCTGACGAGTGGAAGAAAGAAGCAGACGTACAGGGCACGTGTGAGACCACGCAGAGACCGCCCTGGCTGTGGATGGTAAAGTACTCGACACCGGCTTCGGCGCCCTGGAAGGTGAACGGCTCCCACTTGAAGCGCTGGTCCTTCTCGCAGGTGGAGCAGGGGGCGAGCTTCAGCGGAGCACCCTGGTCGAAGCGGCCTCCGCTGGAGAGGCAGAGGTCGCCGTCCTTTGTTTGGATGCTGTTGAAGTCCCCGGTGGTTGGCGCTGCTATGGCAGCAGCGGCGAGGAGGAGGACGGAGGCGAGCATGTTGTTGTGGTCAGCGTTGTGATCGCGTTGGGTCAGATTGTTAGTGGGCAGCGACTTATATCAGATGGGTGAGCAGCTGCGCCGTCGCGGGGATGTGATGCAACGGGGCGGCGGTGCGGGGATGCGATCGACGCGAGAGTAGTGCCGTCAGCACATTCGTATGGCCCTGGTCCATCTGAGTTGGTCTCAAGGCTCCCATTCAGCCTGGTGCCCTTGACGACCATTCACTGGCACATGACGCCGATCCTGGTTCGTTGGGTGTATCCAGCTACCGGCCTCCGTCTCACTTGCCGTATCGTTGATTTCGCGAGGCGACCGTTGACGATGACGGGCTTTCAAGACCGAGCGAACCAGGTTGAATTGTTGTTCTACGGTAAGGCCTTAGCCCGACATGACGGTTCTGGCATTGTGCTGGACCAGTGAGACCCACTGCTGTACGACCTGCGGGCTCAAATACCTATCCCCGTCCATACCACTTCCTCATTGCAGGGCGAGCATATCCTTGGCGCTCGTCTCGAGGCAGCGGGGACCGGGAACATTGTCACCGAGCCCGTTAGTCGCTTCGGTGAAGCCGTAGACGTCTAATGAGTAACTCGGCTGCACTTCCTCACCCTTGCTGTCTGCGGAACTGTATGCATCTCTAAGAATTGAAGGGGATCGATCGATTACGCTGGCGCACCAGCGTTCTAAACTATAGCGGGGACCATCTCTCCCATCGTGTCATGCAAAATCGGATGGTGAAAGTGGAAAATGTGGGGGACTGTCTACTACTACTCTCACACTCTTCCTCCACCTCTCTCGCACTCCACTTGCAAACGCTCACGCCTGTCGCAAGCGCTCCTTTTCGAGCTCGCTGCTCTCGCTCCACTCTACTGCACCTTCTTCTCCTCAATGGTCACAACCTCCTCGATCTCGGGAAGCTGCTTCTGCGCAGCCTCCTTCTCCTCGATCGCGCGGCGGGCCTCGCGACGCTCACGGCCGCGGGTGACCAGCTCAGCGGGCTCGAGGTTGGCGAAGAGAGCCTTGCACGCACGCTCGACGAGGAAGCAGAGCGCAAAGTCGGCAACCATGGCGCCGGCGAGGCGCCAGCGGAACGACCACGCCATGGGGACGAGCTGAAGCCACGAGTTGAGGTCGGGGAAGAGGTCGAGGGCGCCCGAGTACGCGACGAGCGAGGCACCGGCGAGTCCGTAGTAGAGGGGCTTGTTCTCCTTGATACCCTCACGGAAGGGGCGACCCTGGAAGTTGAGGACAAAGGTCGAGACCTGCTGCGACAGACCAAGGAGGTAGATCGCAGTGTTCAGGAGAGTAGGCTCAAACTTCTTCTCAAGGTCGATGATGCCGCGGTCCTCGATCGACTTGCAGAGGCCAGTGATGTAAACGAGGGCAACGATGTGGACACCGAACTGGAGAAGGACGGAAAGCAGGACGTAGAGGTTGAAGATGTTGCCGAGGGGACGCTCACGCGAGAGCTTCTCCACGGGCTTGGCACGCGAGATGCACAGGAAGCACACGCTCATCAGCATACCGGTGATGGTGACCTGGTAGTCGCCAAACTTGATGCCGTCAAGGTACTGGACCGAGAGCGACCAGGCGGTGATGAGACAGTTGAGCGCGAGAATCTTGTACATCTGAATCGTGGCGACGAGCGTGCAGCGACCCTGGCGAATGACGTTCGAGATCGCTTTGACGTTGGCAAGCTTTGAAGTGAAGGGAGCGGCACACGAGGCGTCACCGAGCTTGATCTGGGGAACCTCCTGGCCGTCGTCCAGGTCGGCGAGCTTCGAGGTGATGGTCGTCAGGTCAAACTTCTCCATGGGGTTCTGCTTCTTGGCGCTCTGGTGGGTGGAAGCGACCTCCTGCTGAGTCTGGACGAGCTCGGGGTAGAGTTCGCGGAGCTGGGGAGGAACGGGAGGAGGAGGCTGGTTGAAGCGGGCCGAGATCTTGCACTGCTGCTCGTAGACCTTTTTGAGGCGCTCGTTGCGCTGGTGCTCAGCGATAGCCTTGAGGTCGTCCTCGGTTCCGTCGAGAAGGGCGACACCGACGTGAGCCTGCTTGAGGGCACCGACATCGTTGGTTCCGTCACCAGCCATGAGGGTGGTGTAGCCGAGCTCACGGAGAGTGCCAACAATGAACTCCTTCTGCGAGGGGGAGACACGAGCGTAGACCCAAGTGTGGGTGACGAGGTCCTTCCACTGCTCCGGGCGGTGCTCAAAGGCACGAACGGTAGGGCCGGTGATACAGATGTCGTAGTCGCGGAGAATGTCCTGGTCGAGCGGCTCCTCGGGGTTGACGGGAATAATCTTGGTCTCGTCAACGTTGCGCCAGACGAGCTGGTCGGACGAGCCCTCCTTCAGGTCGAGAATCATGCAATCACGGTCGACAATCTCAACCTCGCGAGCGACATGGATAGCCGTGAGCGGGTTGTCACCAGTGATCATGATGCAGCGGTGGGACGAGTCGGCGAGCATCTTGAGGGTCTCAACGGCGTCGGGCTTGAGAGGGCAGTGGAAGACGAGGAAGCCGGCAAACTCGAGGTTGGACTCGACCTCATCACGGGTAACAGAGTTGATCTTGTCAGGAGTAAGGGCCATCTGCTTAACACCGAGAGCGAGAACACGCGATCCGCGGCGAGTGTAGTAGCGGTAAGTCTCCTCGTAAAAGTCGGGAACGTTGGTGTACATCGACTTGAGGGTCTCGGGGGCACCCTTGACGGTAGCAATCCACTTGCGGCCAGACTTGTCGGTGACAGAGGCAATGGTCGACATGCGCTTGAGGGCAGACGAGAACTGGAAGCGGCGGCGGATGGTCAGCTGGTAGTCGTGAGTGGCGTTCGTCTCGTTGGGCGAGACATTGTCACCCTTGGAGAGCTTCCAGTTGAGAGCGTCAAGAGTGGTGCGCTCCATGGGGTCACCAACGATAGTGCCGTCGTCGAGGAGAACGAGCGAGTGCGCACCGGCGAGAGCAAGGGTGGTCTCCTTGCCGACGACCTTGACGTCCTCGAGACGCTCGGGGTCCTTGGGGTCAACACCGCAGACACCCTCAACGACGAGGTTCTCGCCAGTAATGGTACCAGTCTTGTCGAAGCAACAAACATCGACGTTGCCGGCGAAGGGAATGCGGAACGGCTCGGTACAGAAGATGGCGAACTTTTGGAGGGTGACGAGCGAAGTGTTGACGGCAAGCGAGAGCTCCATGGGGAGCTCGGGCGGGACGACCGAGGTGATGATGAGAACACAGTCGAGGAGGAGCTTGCCCTTGGCCATGCCGCGCTCGAGACCGCGGGTCCAGACGTACCAGGACGCGGCAATGGCGAAGATAAGCAGGAACAGAATGAAGAGGAAGGACTCGAAGTTGTTGGCGGAGACACGCTCGGTCGAGAAGATCATGGTGCGGACGAGCTGGCCCTGGGTCGTGCCGAAACCGGTGCGCAAGACGACGGCGAGACAGCCGCCATCCGGGGTCTTGATACCGCCATCGTCGCCAGGCGAAACCTGCAGGGCCTTAGTTCCAGAGAAGAGGACCTCGTTGCGGTCAGACCCGTTGATATCGAGCCTGTCGGCAGGGTCGCGAAGCTCAACGCTCTCCTTCAGGAGAGGAGTGGACTCTCCTGAGAGCATGGCCTCGTTCACGATACAAGTTCCGCGGAGAAGGAGCAGGTCGCAAGGAATGCCAGAGTCGGGCTTGGTGCGGGTGATCGACACCATGTCTCCGGGAACGAGGTCAGAGGAGATGACCTCCTTCCACTTGCCGTCGCGGAAGACCATGAGGGGGAAAGGAGTGATGCTCATGGTGCGGAACTCGGTGAGAGTGCGGACGCGCTGGAAGACGACGGTGCACTCGAAGACGACGAGCATGAAGGCGGTGAACAGCGAGTAGTACCAGTACTCGTCGAGACACCAAAGGGCGACACAGAACATCTGGAAGACGAAGAAGGGGGCGACAGCGTGCTCGGCGAAGAGCTCGGTGAACTTTGGGATGGGAATGTGACACTCGTTCGGGCCGTACATGGCCTTGAGGTAGTCGTAGGACGGCGCCTTGGTGCTGGTGCCGTGGGTCACGATGCCGCGCGAGTTCTGGAAGACACTGAGGGGCGGGTTGCTGTCGCAAGGGTACGGAATGCGCTCAAACTCCTTGACGTCCTGGTTGAAGACGTAGGTGTCGCGCTGGTAGATGAAGCTGTAGCGGGTGCTCGTCTCGGCGCCGGGGGTCGGCTGCTTGTCGAGGGGAACAAACTCGCCCTTGCCCTTGCCCTTCTTAGGGATGACGCGGACGGTGGACGCCGTGTCGAGCGAGCTGGCGGGACGGTAGCAGAGGACGGCGCGGACATTGTTGCTCCAGCGAGTGGCGAGGAAGCTGAGGAGATGACCACCGAAGACGATGACGCAGTAGATAAAGGTCCACTCCTCAGAGCCGATGTACTTGTCGTAGGCAAAGTTGTAGGCGTAGAAGAGGGCGGGCCAAAGGGCTGGGTTTAGCTGAAGCTACTGGCTGGTCACTCACAGAGCCAAGGAAGACCGTAGATGCGCCATGAAATGGGGATCGGGTTGAGTAGGCTGACCGACTCTATCTCTGGCGATTTGATCGCCGGCCGGGAGCTGCAAAGGTCAGCGAAAAAGCATAGACGGTGGTGCGAGAGACGACTTACGAGCTCATTGTGAATAGAGCTGGTTGTCCCGGTTGATAGGTGTGTGTGTAAGAAAGAGAGATAAGGAGGTAAAACTAAAAAAGTTGGATGATAAATGACCTGATGTTGGACGCACGGTAATTGCCAGCACACCCCACCGGGGACCGGCGGTCAGGTCCAGCGTACGCGCGGCGTTGTGTGTCTGCGCAGGACCGGAGCAAACCGAGGGCTCTCCTTCGCTCATCCACCGAAATCTGCTAGTCCCTTAGTCACTCGATAGCGCAGCCAACCTAAACCCCAGCCATTAACCCCTGGGCTTATTCTCCCCATTAGCCGCTTCCTTTAGGTCCACTGCGATGCCCATTACACCAAGCCCGACATTTGCTCCCGCTCTCTAAACCAGATTACATCATGTCAAAGCCCCCCTCCACGTTCCACTTACCCAAATAGAATCCTGACCCCCGTTCTAATCACAGGGCCTTGCACTGTGTGGGGTGCCTTGATGTGCCTAGTGACCCCGCGCCACGTTCACCCACAGCATCTACACGCCTCGTATTTCGACCAGGTCGGCTTTGTTCATCTTCCTTTACTCAAACCCGCCCAGGCCAACCTCGCCAGTCCTTCATCAAAAGCACACAGGACACTCGATACCCCCAAACGCGAAACCCCCGGCCCACACGCCTTATCCCTGCCCCCTTTCGGTCCCCCGGTCCAAACGAAAGCAGTCGCCCGCCATGAATATCTTCCGGTTCCTTGGTGAGTTGCGCGCGACACCGACATGACGTGGAGATGGCCGACATGAGCGGGGGCGAAGAGGGCGGCGCGCAGATGCCATATCCACAGCAACAGCGGACCGCATCTCCTCAACACGGCAACGGCGGATACGCACGCCAGGCGCAGCTAGCTCATGGGAACCGCTGCAGCATTGTGGGATACGAGAGCATGCGGCGGAGACGGTCGCTGCGTTTTTGGCGCCGGGCTGGTGGCTTGGAACGACGTTAACAGCTGCGTAGTGTGTGCTGGCGGTGTTCGGCTGTAGGCAGTGAACCTTGCTTGACTCCCGCCGGCTCCCAGCCATGTATCCCGCCTGTGTCCACGTTTGACTCCCACTTGCGCCGGACTCTGCCTGTGTCTGTGCATCCCCGCATCATGTCCGGGCTCCGCATCACGCCGCCCAGCTGTTCAACGCGCTACGTCCCAGCTAACACCCCAGGCGACATGTCGCACCTCGCGTCAATCTTCCTCCTGCTGCACAAGATGATCACGTCGCGTTCCGCGCGCGGCATCTCGTTCAAGTCTCAGGCGCTCTACCTCCTCGTCTTCGTGACGCGGTATCTCGACCTCTACAAGTTCTACTCTGTGTACAACACGCTGATGAAGATCTTCTTCATCGCCAGCGCCGCCTACACCATCTACCTGATGAAGGTCAAGTTCCGCCCCACGCAGGACCCGTCGCTCGACACCTTCAACGTCGCGTACATTCTCGGCCCTGCCGCCGTCGCCGCCCTGCTGTTCACGCACCAGTACAACTTCTCCGAGATCACGTGGACGTTCTCGCTCTGGGTCGAGAGTCTCGCCATTCTGCCCCAGCTCTTCATGCTCCAGCGCACGGGTGAGGCGGACAACATCACGACGCACTATCTCGCTGCGCTCGGGCTGTATCGCGGCCTCTACATCCCCAACTGGATCTACCGGTACTACACCGAGACGGGCAGGTTTGACTGGAGGCCCGTCCTCCCCGGCCTCATCCAGACGGCGCTCTATGCCGACTTTGGGTACATCTACGTCACCAAGGTGCTCAAGGGAGAGAAGTTTGAGCTCCCCGCTTAAGGCGAGCAGCGCCAGCGAGCGTCAGCAAGCGTCAACGAGCGTCAACGAGCGCCGGGAAGCATCGCATGTGTTCCCCGTTTGGACCGAGAGTCCCTCGGCACGTCACTTGTGGGCCTCCGTTCCTCTTTCCCCCCCCC